TTCTGAAGGTTGAAATGCTGCCCACTGCCGAAGTGACAGACAGATGCTCTAACCAGATGTTACGTCCTTAAAACTTTATGTGAACATCTTATAGTTGTGGGGTATGGTTTTAACAATCTCACCCCTTTCCTAAGAAGGCTGGAAATACACAAACTTACTATACAATTTAGGCTGTGGCCGTCATAAAAGTGAAAAGAGAGCACTAGAGGAGGTCAGTATTCCCAGAGTTTGTCAATGGACTGCCAGCAACAGCGTCTTCAGAGAAGCTTCTCAAAGATTAAGGAGCTCTGACCCAGCAGCTGGGGGGTTCTCACCCAGCAGCTGGCCTCTTTTCCTTGTTCTGCATCCACACAGGTAACTCGGCTACCTTCACATGCAGCTATCCAAAGAGATCTCACAATGCATCTTGACACAGCATCTGCCTTACTCAAATGTGCTAAAATACCCCCCCACACACACACGTAGGAGGCGGTTCTTGCCTCTGCTGGGCACACCTTAGCGAAGGGACCACATATTCAGGGATATGGCGTTTTCCCTGGGCAGAACAGCCATGCTTGGTCATAGGCCTCACTGTGTCCACACCTACCTCCCTGGGGTCAAAACCATTTGGAGTTGAACTGAGCTCTAGACAAGGGTGCGGATGTGTTACAACTTGAAGCCTTTGGTATGAGGGTCCAATATCAAGTGTTTTAACCAGGCCTTGATACAAGCTGAGTAGAAAAACCACCAACAGAAGGCCAACATGTTCACATAATGACTGTAATGACAAAGATGTTTTACGTTTGGCTCCTCAGCTCCAGAGGAAGTGAAAATTGCACGTAACTCAGAAACAACTAAGGTATGCAAGTCAAAACGGGAATATTCACGTGAAGAGCAGCCTTGGCATGAATGACCCAATCAGCTACAGGCAAGTCTGAAACTAATAGAAAATCTTGTATCTATTTGTCACTAGGAATTACTAAACCAATTTGAACTCCGGAGCCAACACTAAACAAAGTGTTTCATTGGTCACTGCGATGAATTCAGTTCTCTGTTCAGTCAAATTCCAACCTAGACAAGGTTTGGAGACTCAATTTTACTTTCTTTTCATAAACACATTAGAGCTGATCTCTGGGGGAACTCAAAGATGTCAGTAAAGCCAAACGCATTGGTTCCCATGGTCACACAGTATTTGCCAATCTATGTGGGTATCCAATCACATCACTCAACCCTGGGCCAACCATTATCTCACAAATGTGGAAACTTCATCTTCAGATGAAAGCCGGGTGTTACTTAGTTGCTATAACACTTGCTCTTTTCCTAAATAGTCTTGTACTCCTCTTTCAATAGTTCATTTCCACTGGGAAATAATAAAAACATGCCAACTCTAATTCCATTTTCTCTCTTACGTTAATTCTATTTCCTCATAAAAATTTCATTCTCCAAAGATGTTCAATAATCTCCGCCTTTTTTGAATAAATAAGGTTTTAGTATTAAAAAGCAGCACAACTGTGGAGCTGTGACCATGGCCCAGCGGGTAGGGGTGCTTGCTGCCAAGCTTGACAACCTGAGTGTGAGCCCTGGAACCCACATGACAGAAGGGGAGAAGCAAGTGCAAGCTGTCCCCTAACCCTGACACCCCTGCATGCAGTGGCATTCCTGCCTCACTCCACAAACACATGAAGGCAAAAGAGGTGATCTTCAGGAAAAGTGAACTGCGTCCCAAAGTCATGGGCTGGCATGCTTCCGATTTTCAACAGTTTCACGGACAACGCTACCATCTTCCTAAGAAAACAGACAAAGGTATGACTATTTCAAGACAGACCTCGGTGAAGGGCTCCTTCCCTATCCACACCTGAAAACAAGGCCAGACTAGCAATCAGGACTTCCTGACACTCGTGGAAGGAGAGCGGGCAAACGCTGTGTGGACTGCTATTTTTGTTTCTAAATACTTCAAAGCAGCCAGCAGACACACAACTGAATATCTCCAGTCAGTGACAGCAAGGGCAGATCTCAGGGATGGCCTCACACCATGTGTACCAGTGTATAGTACAAATCACGCAACAGTTTAAGAACTAAAAACTACCAGTCAACTATGAGAAGACATTAAAACGACTGTTTCCAAACACATAATGTTGTTGGTAAAGTGCTGCGGGGTCAGGCTGAAGCTAAATCAGTGACACAGGCGTATGGCCACCTGGACAGCTGACGGGTGCTGGGGGGAGGGGCAGGGAGGGCATTTTCTTCAGTACTGGAACCACTGGTAAGTTTCCCAAGTTCCTGTAAATAACCCCCTCCACCCTTGCTCATGTAAATGACCCTAAACTCAACAAGGTACTACCCACAAACACTAGCAGAAGTCCAGAGCACAGGAGTTAGTCAGGACAGGGGCACCCAACCAGAGAAATGTCTGGAGTTTAACAAAAAAACTAACTAAAAAAATTATAACCACAAGAAACCCTACTTTACACTTTGTATATGCCTTCCGGACGCACAATGAGCCGAACGCTATCTTTCTTCTCATGTAAGCACACAGGTTCACTGAGATAAAGTACTTCATAATCCACCAGCCGAACAAAGTTTCTAACAGTGGTCAGTAAACTATCAAGTCTAAGATCCATAAAATAACCTTTGTAAGTCATGCTTGCACACACACACACACACACACCCCAGGAGGAAGGTCTGTTCCTGGACACTGACTATAAAGCAGTCCCATCAGGCACTGCTCCTTGCTGTACACCTACCGCTCCTTCACCCTGAGATCGCTCTTCTCCCAGAACTCCGTGGAGTCTCACACCAATGGCCTGAAAGAAGCTGAAGCAAGCTCACAAAAACGAGCCATCCCACGGGGGCTACAGAGACCACTAACCAGACAGTAACTTAAACAGCAATGGCGGACATACGAATCACAAGGGACTGATTCAATGACTCAAGGGACTTACGAATGCCTTTCACACCTGCCACCACTGACCCCATTTAGGAAGCCCAGCCAGTGCTCTCTCCTCTGGGGTCTCAGGTTTGGGTCAGTGGGGTCCTTTTAAGAGTTATTTTTCTAAAGCCCGAGTTGGCCCTGATGAGAAACTATTAGGCGCTAAAGTCCTAACAAGTTTCATAAACAGATGTGAGGCTTAAGAAAAAGTACTGGGGCCGGGCGGTGGTGGCGCACGCCTTTAATCCCAGCACTCGGGAGGCAGAGCCAGGCGGATCTCTGTGAGTTCGAGGCCAGCCTGGACTACCAAGTGAGTTCCAGGAAAGGCGCAAAGCTACACAGAGAAACCCTGTCTCGAAAAACCAAAAAAAAAAAAAAAAAAAGGAAAAGTACTGGCTTTGAGTTATCTACTTCTGTGAGAATATCGAAGTTAGCAATACAAAAATAGAAAGCAATCTACAAGGCTTTGTGAAGGGTGAGGCACTCAATTAAGCACATGTGTATGTGCACACATCTATTTCCAATTGTGAATTATACTGTTGGGAACTATTTTGAAATGTTAAAAATGTCAATTGCTAGAAGAAACATTTATCATGGGAGAAGGTGGGAGAGACAACCTGGCTCAACCACTCCCAGCCCGAACAGGTCTCTCCCTGCTCAGGAAGCCTTTGTGTGTGTTTGACACTGCGCAGCAACAAGAAGCGGGGCTCTGCGCCATGTCCTTGTCTACCAGGCCAATCCCAGGAAGCTTTACAAGAGAAAAATCAAAGGAGTAGAGAACTGTCCAAAGGAAAAACAAAACCAACCTGGTGGAACTGAATGACCAAGCAGAGCGTTTGCCTCCATGTGTGATTCTACAAACGGTGGTCCTGCAAGACCTGGTTATCCCTTTAAAACCATTTCTACCTGATGTCGGGGGCTTTAGAAAGCACCTAGGCAAGTATCACCCCATTCACCGAGCACACTCGAATTAGCTAGTTAAAAGGAAACTCGACAGCCGGGCGGTGGTGGCGCACGCCTTTAATCCCAGCACTCGGGAGGCAGAGCCAGGCGGATCTCTGTGAGTTCGAGGCCAGCCTGGGCTACCAAGTGAGTTCCAGGAAAGGCGCAAAGCTACACAGAGAAACCCTGTCTCGAAAAACCAAAAAAAAAAAAAAAAAAAAAAAGGAAACTCGAGTGTATTCCCAGGTACTTTTCATCTGTTGTTCTTCACATGTGCAAGTCCCACACCCACATGCCTGCTTTTACTACCATATAAATGGAACTGTTCAGGGAATGGAGGGGGCTCCTTTCTGGCCCCATGTAAACAGTAATTTGGAACTCACTCTTCCTCACATAGATGGCAGTGGGAATCACTGATTCTTTCCCTTGAGCTTTGGAATGGGAGCACAGGGCACGCAGACCACTCGTTCTTCTCCATTTGAAGTCCTTTCATCGGTCCCTCTGGTCCAACAGTAAAAAGCACACTCACAGGATTGTGCCTTTTCAGCTATGGCCTTCTAGATGAAGAAACAATTTTAGCTGTCACCTCAGGAGTCAGTTGTTCTTTTTCCTACTTATTAATCTGGTAAGGAAATGACTGCTCTCTATCTGAAGACACAGATAAGGGTAACTTTCGCTTTGTTTTTTGAGGCAGGGCTTCTCTTCATAACCTCTGGCTGTCCTGCAACTCATTCTGTAGACAAAGCTGGCCTCCAACTCAGCAATCTACCTCCCTCCCCCTGCCTCCTGAGCGATGGGATTTAATGCATGCGCCAGCCACCACTGCCTGGCCTAATTTTGACATTTTGTAACTGCCAATGTGGCTGACGTTTCTACTCTGTCTTTCTAAACTGCCTGCTTCTAAATCACTGGGTCTAGAATTACACTAGACAGACTGAAAGTCCAGGACACTGTAGGAACTACAGATTTGAAGTACCAGCTACTTTCTCTCTCTCTCCCCCAAACAGAACTCTTTCGAGATCCTGAATTCTAATACTTAAGAATGAAATGGTTCATAATCTGCTCACGTTCTCAATATCATATGGTGGGGAGGCATAATAGAAATTTTTAAAAACTCTAAATACAATACAATGAGTCAGACACAACCCAATGAAGTGATCAACACAATTTATTTCCAGGATTAACAATTTTTTAAGCATGGATATATTCAAGGGAGAAGTCTTTGTTTTGCTCAATTTCAAAAGAATCGATCTTTTCCAATTATCACTGGGGGTGATACCCTGAAAAACCTGATTTCCTCATTTTATTGCATAAGAAATTCAGCAATACTGACTTATTCAAGAAACTGTAACTACCTGGACATGATTCAGACAATGAACGACAGGAAGGAAGCTCTTAAGGCACCTCTTTCAATGATGGGCCCTCCACCTAGGACATCAGATCAGGGTCCTGTCACTGGCCTCAAGAGTCGGGGATTCAGACACATAGCACACTTCTAAAACCTATAGCACTCCAAGAACTACACAATGTCCTTGCCTCTCTGACTCTGGGTTCTAATACCTAATTCTGCATAAATAATTCCTTAATTGTTGCTATTACCATAGAGCACTAACTTGCCTGATTCACCAGGGCTACACTCGCCACAATGAACAGCCATCTAGAGAGTGTACCATGGTGTAGAAGTGCTGGGTGCTCCTCATATACTACTCACGGAAATTCTCAATTTCAGTAAAAGCTACCGGGGTCATTGTTCAGACATCTACTCAGTCTGGACCTTTCCATGCTTGCCTAATTAAGATTTCAGTAAGATTTATGTTGTTTGTTTGTTTTTTTAACTTGATACTGCTGGCTAATTGTGTGAAAAATTGAGAAAGGTTTCAAGTTACACTGTATTTTTAAAATGCCATGCGTACTAAGCCACTGAAATAGCAAAGAATGGGTCATACTGTTGTGGGATGTTCTGTATGCTGTGAGAATGTGTTGCTATGATTGATTGATAAATAAAACACTGATTGGCCAGTAGCCAGGCAGGAAGTATAGGATAGGCGGGATAAGCAGAGAGGAAAATTCTGGGAAGTGGAAGGCTGAGGCAGGAGACGCTGCCAGCCGCCGCCATGGGAAACAACATGTAAGATACCTGTAAGCTACGAGCCATGTGGCAAGGTATAGATTTATAGAAATGGGTTAATTTAAGATATAGGATCTAGCTAGCAAGAAGCTTGAGCCATTAGGCCAAACAGTTTAAATAATATAAACCTCTGTGTATTTACTTGGGGGACGCTAGTGGGAGAGAACTGTCCTGACTGCTGGCAGGCCGGGACACAGGAAAACATCAGCTACATCATACAGTTCAACAAGTAAACAAAACAGAAAATATAAATATTGCCAGTTTTTTGATAACATGACAAAATGAATCAAAATGGACTTGAGTGCACACTTTTAGAGTGCTATTTAATGACACCTAAAAACCATCCACCTTTACAAATCCACGTTCTTTCCCTTTCATTCAGGAGGATCAAACCTGGGGACACACACATACTAGACATGCTCCATTGCTGAGTCCTGGTTCATCAACCATTTTTTAATGGAACAATTCACAGAGGCTGCTTGCTGTGATGTAACAATAGTATTACTGGATTTTCTCTGCACATTCCACTAGCTCAAGTGTTAATGGGCAAGTACGGGCATTACACATTCACCTGAAAAGGTAGGCAGTATGGAATATCCTGTTTAATGGTTCGCAATGAACTTCAGTAGTTTTAAATTTCACTGTTGTAACAGCCAAAGTGATTTTATAATGGAGCTCCATAAATACAGACTGTTACTCTGATGTGTCTACTCTTTCCACTATGCTCTAGGGGGTCAATTTACATGGATTTTATATAGTTACGCAGTTTAGTCTTAGGCTGCTGTAGATGGGGTCATTAGTGCCCCTCAAAATATTCTGAGATACGTCAGAGCTCTTAACACATACATGCACTGACAGAAGATGATGGTGCGAAGACACAACCCGTCCAGAGACAGTAGGCAGACACCAGCATGAGGAATCCGCAACTCAAGAACAGCTCAGGGGTGGCTGAGAACAACCAGAAGATTGGGGTGGGGGGGCTATCTCCAGGGCCTGGGGGAAGGGGGAGAAGGGCTTTGCTGACTCATGCTGCTAGCTGCTAGCTACTATACTTCTTGGTAAGTTGCTATATCAGCTCCAGGAAGCTCCCCAACATAGTCCGCTTACTAACACCACAGCTCTACCAAAGGTGAGAACTACAGCCTTGGCAAGCACAGCTTTGAAGTCAGTAAAGTTGGGGGGGGGGGGGGGGAGCACACACATGCAAGCCAAGAGTGGTGGACAGGAGAGCACTGTCTTGTTTAAAAACAACAGAGGTATCTGAGCCTCCTCAGTGACTATTTCTGAAGATAAACTGTATACAATGCTTGCCACACAGGGGTTAAAACTCTTTCTACTCCAAGCACTTCTAGGCCTGTAGTGAGAAAACTAACACAGTCGTGGACATGGACTACTGGGGCCAACAATTGAAAACATAATAGATTCAGAAAAGGCTCCAAGTAAAGGGTTAGGAAGCCTCTCCATCTAAAGGGCTCAAAGGAGGAAAGGTCTAGTTTACACAGCACATGTATTAAACTAGTAAAGGACATGTCCAGACAGCTACTGTAAAAACTGACTACCAATGAAATAGGAAACTTCCATTATAAAAAAAAAAAAAAATCAGAGGAACATTTTATTTCATGTAATAATCATAAACAAAATAATCAGATTTGCTAAGATTAGCAGGAATGGGAGTTTACCTAACAAATTCTATGAGCATGTCCTCTGAGGGGAAGACTGGGCAGTAAAATGGCCACCATTCATTGCTGGTTCTAGGACTCTGAAAACAGTGTCACGACAATATGTAAACTAAGTTTGTATGAATCTAGCTTAGGGATGTGAATACTTGAAGAATCCTGTTATGCATTTTAATATGGAAAAATAATTGTAAATTAACTATTAGTACAAAGTGCAAAGGCTAGCCTCTAAACTGTATGAATTCAAGTGGAAAGCAAGCATTAATAATTCTCAATGTATGTACTATTACTTCATACTTTGTTTAATCCAAGCCCAATGGACTATTTATAGAATGGTTGATACAAAGAAACAGATTACTAAATCTTGATTATACATACAGTGCATAAAACTGAATTTTTGAAGTTGACAAAACCACCCTCTCCAACGCAAATCTGCAAAGAAGTCCTCACTGGTTACAGAGCATCTTCAAGGAGAAAGGGAAATGGAAAAGGGTTTTCACATTTTATTTGTGAGCAAAGTGTTTTCTAAACGAAACCTTATTTAGCATCAATGCAATACAAACCTGCCTTCACACTAGTTGAAAGGACATCATTGCGCAAACTTAAAACCATTAAGTGAGTTCTTAGATATTCTAAGAGGAGGAACAACAATGTACATGTGTAACCACAAAAAGGGGACTTAAGTGCTTAATGCAACCATAAATCCTAAAAAGCCTGGTTGGGCATTTTCAGAACTGGCATACACTAATTTCAAAACCTGGTAACAGGGTTTCAAAGTTCACTCTAATACAAACTGAGACTTAAGGAAGCCACTTACACCTGTGACTTAAGTTTCTCCCAAGCAAAACAGATACTACAAAGACTACTTCCCAAGATGGTCACAGGATTGCCCCACAAACACGATGCAATTGTTATTCCACTCAACACAGTATGCATCCTGAGTATTAGCTATGGGTATCTTCAGTGATGAAGACTGTCTAGCTACGAAGAAATAAAGACTGGAGGTTCAGTAGCTTTCGCAAAGACATTCTAGCAACTGGTAAGGCCAGTTTGAAAACCCAAAAGCAGTAATTTCTTCTTCTCTTCTTCAACTTGTCAGTCACAAAATAGAAAACTATTACTGCTTATTATATTTTTTGTTAAAGACACAGATCCACTATGTGACTCAGGCTGAACTCAAGATCTTATTGCTTCAGACTCCTGAGTGGCCTGTGTTCTATGACATTCAACAAGCTACGGTATTAAAATGCTGGAAACAGCCTAGAGATCAGGGTGGGGAAGCAACTCCCTTTTAATACGGGTCACAATTTCAGTTTCCAGCCCTGCCTGCTCCTGTACAGCCTGGAATTCTGGGAGCAATGGCAGATAGGGTAGGAGGAGACAAAGAACATTTGCACTCAAGTCCCCTGCATTCAGAAAGTCTGCTGTGGTGGACTCAATCAACTTCAGATTCAGACGACAAGTGTTTGAAAACTCAGAAGAATCTATATTGAACACACAAACTCTTTCTTTGGTCATTATCCCCTTAAACAACATTAAACAACAGAGTGTAATAACTACCAAGCCTACATCACAGTTACTAGGCTTAAAAGGAAATCTGAGCTGACTTAAAGTACATGGAAGGACAAAACTGAGCACCTGTAGATTTTGGTACCTGGGGGAAAAGTCTCAGTACCAATTCCCTGCAGGCTGCTTCAGGGGATAACGTGTACAGGTATGAAACCATGTATCTGGTCTTATGCAAAGTGTACACTCATTAAACCATATATCTGGTCTTATGCAAAGTGTACACTCATTAAACCATGCATCTGGCTCTGTGCAAATGTATTCTCAGCTTACTGCATGAAGCAGCTAATATTTTACATAATTAGAAGTTACCCCATTACACTTTTCTCCCCCTTTGATACAGTAACAAAAGGAAAAAGGTAAAGGAGGGGAGAGAAAAGGAGGCTCAAAGTATTTGTTCTCTATCTTCCACAATCTTCAGAACAAAGCAAGGTAATTCTAAGTGCACACGAGATGAAAACCCTGCTTACGGAGGCAGGGGTGGGTGGGTGGGTGGGGGAGCAAGGAGCCTATCTGGAGAAACTACTTATGTGTGTCAGTTCCTGATGTAAGACCCATCTAGGCAGTCCTCGTAATGACACTGATGCCAGTTCCTGACCAATTTAATCATAACAAATTTGTCCACTAAAGGTTCTTTCTGAAATTAAAATACCCAATTACATGATAAAGTAGAAGTTTGAGTAACCCTATAAAAAGCACATGTAAGTAAAGCAAATGCTTCCTGTAGTCATCTTACTGATTTCTTCTCAATTCTTTTCTTGGTGCAATAGTTCATTTTTAAAAATAGGAATTTAAACTATGATGATCTCTACATTTTAGTCTCTCTCCAGCATCAATTGCCATAAATGTATTGTTACATCACTAAAAAGTTCTATGAAACTAGAATATTTTAAGTAGAAAACAATTTAAAGAGTATTTTGTGTAAGCCAGGTATGGTGACTAATGCACACTTGTAATCCTACCACTAGGGAGCAGAGGGACTGTCATGAGTTCAAGGCCAGCCTAAGCTACAGGTGAGACCCTGGCCTAAAACTGAGAGGAGGAGGGAACATATTCAATGTGTATCTGGAACGGGAGTACGTAGGTGGGATTCAGCAGAAAACACACTAAAGAAGGTATGTCAACATAGCTTACACACATGTCTATGAGTGTGTCATAAAACCTCTCAGAAGTCTTCAGTCTGTAGTGACTACTCGCACAGTTCTTACAATTTTCAGGGCTCCAGGTGCCTGTAACACTCCCTAGAAAGCGGGGAACCATAGGGAACAGCACACTACAAAATCACTTTCTGTGTGTACCTATATTAAAGTATGCCATTATAGGTTTTAATGTTTGCCTTCACCAAATCTTTTTTTCTTTAGATGTGAACATTAAATTTTTAGTGCCCACAGCTCACAAGGTCTTATAGAGGCTATATTTTATATAAAAACCACAGCAAGAACACTTAGGAAAAACATAATTCTATGTCACCCTATAGCATCTGTGATTAAATAACTTAGTGTTTTATCTGCCTGCCTTAAAAATGAATTACAGATATTTGTTCTCATCTTCTGCAGTACGTAAGTAAAATATTTGTTTGTAAAGAGGAAAAATGTAAAAGGTACTGAAATATTTTACTAACACAGCACCTAGTAAATAATATAAAGGCACATAAGGTATAGCAAAAATATTTTAATTGAATATACAATGCCCTTGGCTCAAAGGTCATGCCCATTTGAATACACAGTGAGGAAAATATAATATTCTTGGAATCACTTACTCAGTGGATCTGTATTAAATGGGCAGGAAATGTATCGAGATTCACTCACTAGCAGTAATATTCACGCATGTTCACTACACTGTCTACTTAGTAAATCCTTTTTCTTTGATTCTATGACCCTTTTAACTCGAAATATCTCTGAGTTAGGAATTATTTTATAGTCACTGGTATGTCTTACTGGAAACAGCCTGTTTCTGAGTAGTGTTGCTTGCAATTAATGGCATTTTACCCAATGAAATTTGCTATGTTTTAAAAAGTAACTTTAAAAAATAGCATTGCTCCTGGTTCTCAGCATTCCTAGGTGTCCAGTCGCTTCATAAAGTGTAATCTTTCACAAAAGTGGGGATGGAAAACTGAATAAAACAGCCCAATTCCCAGGATAAGAATGAAGTTACACGGAATTACCTTGAGTTTAAATGGCATTCTTACCATTTGGACCTTCCCATTAACTTCCGATTCTTTCCTTACCTAGAGTGACCTACAATGAGCATCCGACCCCGAATGCTGCTCATGCAGATGGCTTTGTCACATGTTTCTATGCACTGCAGAAGTTATCAACTGCACTGTACACACACTAATGCTAAGAACAGAGCTCAAGATCAATGAAATGTTTACAGATTAAAAAAATAATTAATTCAGTCTGCTAAACTACAAAGAAGAGTGTGGCATCACAGTAAAACTATGCGGGGCTGTGGAGTGTATCTCAGTGGGAGAGCACCCAGCATGCAACTGGCCAGGGGTCCACCCCAGCAACAAACAAATGCACACTATGTGACTGAGTGTCTCGTACAGTACTGCCCACAAACCCACCAAGCACTGTATGAGGGGGTTGGGCCACTGCTCACATATTCCAGTTGGCACCATTCTAGTGACAGAGCTGTGATCAACGGCATACAAAATAGGGCAGGTCCTAAGCCAAACCTATCAGATAAAACAATTAACTTTTCTCTGGAGTATTTAAGTGCTGGTGAAGGAAATTCTAGTTCAGTCAACAGGGCTAGGTATTTCTTTCCTTAACATTATATAACTAGAGAAGGGCACGGGAGGAATGAAGTCATTTCTTTTAAATCATACAAGAGTCCCCATGCTCAAGATGACACAGTGATGACAGCTGATGAGGTTGGTTAACTTGCACTTTCTAGAACCTCCAAACCAGTGCAAGTGCAACCCACCTCAAGCACCCACAAGAAGAGCAAAGGCTTAGAATGTTTTTTAGAAAAATCACTAACAAACAAGTCTTATTTATATTGCTACTTAACTTGAACAAACGTCCATTAATTTTGATCAGAGTAATTGGAACTAAAGTTGTTTTGAGAAACTGTACTTAGTATCATTTCCTAAGGTCAAAGGCAGTCTTTCCTGAACGTTTACTTTGCCCTAAATTTGCAACTTTGACTCTGTCCTAAGGGAAAGACCTGAAATAAAAATCAGACTATCGACTGGGTTACTTTGGAACTAAACATTCAAACCCTCCTACGCTTACCTACTTTCCCCAAATTATGAAATATATTATGTCCTATTATCTGTATTTACACCATGTGAGAAAAGGACTAACTGTGGCCACAGAAGTTATAGCTCTCTAGATGACCACCACAAGGGTACACAAACAAATCGTATTGGACATGGCTGCTGTGCTGTTATGGCTTAGAAACTTTAGCTAGAGCAAAGGATGAACTCCTGAAAATGACTGCTCAGGATCATAGGAAAGCTTTCCACTGGAAATTAAAAAATATCGATGGCTCTTTTTTTACATGTATATACTATATGTAGAAAACTCAAAAGAAAACAGCAAATAAATGAAACTTAAGGGCAAAAGCAAACAAGAAGCCAACCTCAATTTCTTCTCTTCAGTTTACCTTAGAGTCTTGTCTAAACAATGTAACCCAGAGCCTACAAAACACATGATGGACACTTTATTCCTGGTATATCAAAATCTCTTAAGTCCATCAACACCAGTATACATTTTGTGCAATCAAGAAACTCATGGTGGGCACGTGAACTGCACTTCTTAATGACAGTATTATCTACACAGAACAGCAAATAGAGCGTGAAAAGTGAAAACTTGGAAGAACTTAAGTGCAATCTGACTACATGCTGCACCTGGCTTTATGTTCAGCTGTATTAAACAAAATACTGCAGAACTGCCTCTTGGCCAATATACTTCTTTCTAATTTCTTCATATTTACCAAGATTGAAAACTATAACCAAAAGCAATGTTAATTTATCCAATGTTTCCAATTTTCTATCAAGTTTTAAAGAGTATGTTATTAAACTTTTAAAAAACATTCTACCTTTTCTCTGTATAAGCATAGAGACAGACATACAGAGAAAGAAAAACTACATGGCTTATACAATAAATATACATGGGTACTGCGTACATATTAATCAGACTGCATGGTTTTTATATAAAAGCATACAGGTTTTTACCACCACATAACTCTTCATTGTTGTTAAAGTGTAATGGGGAACTTCCACAGCTAAGTGCATGCTACTAACAATTCAGTTTTAAGAATTTGTAGGTTAAAAAAATACAATTCCTAGAACACTGTTATCAAACAAGTAAGTTTTATTGGCATCTAAAAACAAAATTCACCCAACATTGAAACGTATTTTAATGTTTACGTTGTTTGCTTTTTCTTTTCTTTTTTACTCACTGCAGTATGAGGAACAAATCACACACACTTACTTTGGAGGAACAGAGACCATAGTGGAGATTTTCACAAAATCACTTTTTAAAATCTCTGTATTATGCTCCTCAAGAATCTAGAGCCAGTCCTTGCATAAAATGTCACAGCTTTGTTACCTTAAAATCCTGCAGCAGCCTAGAGATAGGAAGAAGATGTGCCACACCCTGCTGTTCTGCAATTACGTCATTACCATAGCCAACCCAACGACAGTGTCTAAAACCCTCTCTTCCATAGGAAGTCTCCGACAAGCTGTTAGCATCTCCTTGACGTTAAAAGAATCTGGGGCAACATTTATACTTTATCAGAAAAATAAAAAAATGTTTACCTACCATGTTCATATTAAGAACAATGTCTCTACAAGTCAGTTGTACAATAATTTTAAGAGAAAGGTGAACATGAACATCAGATTAACTTAGTTCTGGCAGATAAACGTGAACAACTCTGGTGCAGTCAGCCATTACCCTCTTACAGAGATGACAACTGTACAAAAGGTTTCTTTTACCTACTGAGCGATGGTTATGTCCCCTCAGTCTCTGTGCTCTCTACCACCACTGCTTCACTTTCTACATCAGCAACTGTGCCGCTCTCCTCCTTGTCTACGTCACCTGAAGATGCCAGTTTGTCATAGAGTTCAGGGTCCTTCTGTACTGGTAAAGGCGGTGGCTGAGCATGCCTCTCTGTATTTTCACCGTTAACTTGAGGCACATTATCACCTTTTCGTTGAGAAGTGGCCCCTTCGAAATAATCAAACACCCGAGCATGAGGAGGGGGGACCCAAGTGTTTTGAATTCTATCTCGTCCAAGACGATTTCCATTAATTTCTCTGCAGAAATCAAAATCTCTGTCATCCCTATCCCTCTGCCTCTCCCAGGGTCTTCTGCGGTCATCAAAATCTCTGTGAACTTCTTGTGCAAATCCTCTGTTCCAAGGACCACTTCTAGGATCAAATCGGTAACTTCCAGCCCGAAATCTACCTCTTTCTTCATGTAAGCCTTTTGGACCACCAAAGACAGGCAGAACTCGATGCTCTCTCTCATCAAAATCTCTATGCCCCCAAGGCTTCTCTGGGGGAAAGCCAAAGTGGTCTCTTCGACCAAGATGATCTAGACCTGGCCTCACAAGATTCTCTCTCATGTCCATAGGAGGTCTTCCAAAATGATCCCTACCATCTAATGGAGGCCTTCCAGGGCCTTCTCGGGGATCTATAGGTCGCCCAACCACATCCCTAACATCCACCGGGGGAGGTCTATTAATGCCCTCTCTTGTTTCTACAGGAGGAAAACGGTAATCTCTATCCCCTTCCTGCTGAATACTGTCATTCCCAAGTGGTATTCGTTTATCTGGGTTGGGAACATTGTCTATACTTGGTCTTCCAGGAGCCAGAAAAGGTCTTTCTGGCTGACTAAAAAGATCTCCAGGAGGAAAAGGTCCACGGGGTGGCGGGTGAAGAGCTGCATCAAGTACCGATGGGGGAGGGATCCCCCTCTGGGGAGGGATTCCAGGCTGTAGTAAAGGGAATCTTGGTCCAGGAGCCTGTGGTATCAGTCCTGGACGGATGTCTAACATTGGCAATGCAGGCATCCTTTGAGCTGGGATAGTTAAGGGAGGTAAGTTTTGAGGTCCAATTGGTGGCTGTGTTCCCAAAAGTCCAGCAGGATTTGAAACATTTGGTGGCTGTAGTCCTACAAGTCCAGAGTTGTTAGGCAAGTTTGGAGGCAGTACCCCAAGAAGTCCAGAGCCACTCGACACATTTGGTGGCTGTATGCCCAAAATTCCAGAGTTATTTAGAATATTTGGTGGCTGGGCTCCAATAATCGCAGCATTACTGGAAACATTAGCTGGCCGAACCCCCAGAATTTCAGAATTACTTGACACATTTGGTCTCTGCACACACAGGATCCCAGAGGTGTTTGCGGGGCCAGGTGGCTGTGCTAACATTGCAGCACTACTTGGAATATCATTTGGAATCACTACAACAGAAAGAGAAGAAATCATCTAAAGTAAGTTATTGTTATAAAAAGGAAATAAATTATTAATGCTATAATTTCCACTAATGAACTTCAGCTACCTCCCCTCAAAGAATCATACGTTACCAGAGACAGCATGAACATCAGACCTAAGATTACGATTAGTACACAGAGTAAAATTCACATGTTTAGATAAAATACTCTGCACAAATTTTTTCAAACAAAAATGTCAAGTGTGTTTGCATGTGATTAAGATACCAAACAATGGGCCCATTAAAAATTATTTAATGCTTTCAAACACCATTTTTAGCTAGATAATAATCTGGTACAGTATCTGGTATTCAACCAAGAGTTGCTGACCCTCGTCTTCTGACCACAATGCCCAAGAGCAGCAGCATCATCAAAGGGGGAGTGTGCTGGGTCTTAATTAAAAGGTCTAAAAACCAGTATTATTCTGAATAGACTATCTTTTGTAACTGTCTTAACAACACTGGGCATTAAAGTAAGGCAAGTGCCTAGCACTGAGCTACGTCTCCAACCCTTGAGTAATGTCACGTCTTCTTAAGGGACACTGCAGAGCACGGAGAGAACACGTGTGAAAAAACGGCAGTACCACTTTACAATTTAGTACAAGATACATTTCACGTCTAGGGTTTTTCAGTCACTGGTTTTGTTTTTACCTGGTCTGGTGTTTTCACCAGAAGGAATCTGGTGTTCTGTAAGGTGAGGTACTTTTTCTTCAGGCTCTGCTTTATTGGGAGGATTAAAAACATTTCCAGCTGATAGAGTTGAAGGAGCGAGACTGCTGGCAACGGAACCACCTGGTAAAACAAGGCTACCAAATCCAACATCTTTCACAGTTTCTGGGGTCATGGACAATGGTGGTTGCACTAAAGCTGTTTAAACAGGACAAAAATTGATTTCAGACAATTTGTGAGCTAAGTTTTCTGGCAGCTTGAGTGATTTACTTAGTGGCATCTCAGTATTACTAAGCATGTTATATTAATCAATGCTCAAAATGACTAGTCATAATGAAGAGGCTCAATTCTATTTACAATGCTTCATTCTTTTAGAATAGAGGAAATCATTTTAAGAAATATTTTTACCAAAGGGTCTGGTATAGGAATAGTCAGTCACTGGCGATTCTAGTAACACAAAAAAACTAATTTTCTAAGAATGTCAGCTAAGTGAATACTAAATACACAGAAATGATTAGCAGGAACAGACAAGTAAATATCAGAATGAAAGTCTAGCCAATCTTCAAATTACAATGCGTGTGTGTTTTGGGGGTGGGGAGATCCCTTTATATTCAGTACCTTCATCAAACAAGGTTAGGAAAGGTGCACTGAAAATGTAATGCTGTAAACATGCTGAACCAAAACAGTTGGTAACAACGCTTCACATGTGTGTGCCACCTACATATAAAAGGCAGAAGCACAATATAACAGTCTTAGAAGTTCCAGTTCAGGGTATGTCATATGGAAAACTGTTGAGTCATACTTGGACATGTTAAACGAAGGTGCCCCCTCTCCCCATATTCACCTCCTCAAGAATTGCTTGAACAAACTGTCAGTATACTATAGAGATGTAACACTGGGACAAAACTACCTATGATCAAGAACAGGAATCATGGGAATTAAGTGAGACAGGAAGAACAGCAGAACTGCATGCACTAGTAATCGATCCCAGGTTTGGAAACTATAGTTATTGAAAGACAGACTATAGCACAAGCCTCTTTGAGTGGTGAATAATAAATAATAATAAAATAACTTCTGAACACTGTAATTTTCAGAAAGATTTGAAAGTTACCTAAATAATGAGAGGAAAACATTTTAAAATGTAAGGGAAATGGATTTAGATTTTAAGAAATTAACAAACATCTCTATTATATGTACTCTCATGAAAGGACTTTTGGAATCTAATTTTTAAAGCAAGATTGCTCAAAATTACTGTATGTTTCTTCAGAAGCCCTGTGTTTAGTAACAGGAAAAAGGAAAAAGAAAATTAAAAGATAACTAACTGTCTATAAATGTTTATTTTTGTAATCCCTTAGATTGGTATGGCTTTAGTTAAGTACATGTGCACTCTGAAGGCAAAGACAGGAGCAGAGAATCTAGTTTCTTTAGGAAGTCTTTCACTATTTCCAGCATCTATGAATCTGCAGGTTAACACTGCAAGGGAGGAGGTAAGTATTCATATTATCATTTCAGTATGATAACCAAAGTACAAAAACACAGCGAAGTAAAATGTGCTGTATGTACACTTCTCCTTGACACTGTTTTATAGTGTACATTTATAATTTCTCTATTTCCTAGTTTTGTCCACTGAAAATGTTTCCACTCAACAAAATCCTCCGAGCAAACATAATCTTACTAGATTGTGGTCTCTAAATGTCATCCTGCACTAGGAGAAGTGTCTGATTCAGACTACAGTGGAAGATACCGTATAAGCTGGGGACAATCAGGCCGGAAATCGTGAGACTCTCTCAGAAGCTAAGGCAGCTAACTCCAAGACACAGAGAGGCAACATACACCAAGTCAAATACACCATTTGCCCATCAAAAGAACAAAGACTACAACTGACGGGAAGGAATCTGCTAATCCATGAAAATACCGATCCAAAACTGAAGAAAGGAAGGGCGGGGGGTGTCAAAGGAGAGGAGTCACAGAAACCTTCCTGCCCCCAGTCACCCACTCCTCACTGTGCCTACTGGCAGCGAGGGGGAGGTCTGACACCCACCCTGACTCTCCTGTGCACTACACCTCAAGGGAACTAAGGACCAGCAGCTGCTAAAAGTTTTCTTTGTATTAAAAAAAATCCTAACAAAGAAATTACTACTTAAAAGACAACTAATTTTCAATTAATGACAGATTTAACCAATAAAAATCAACAAATTAAAAGCATCATTAAAACTGAACAGGTAAACATTTTCAACAGCCAAGTTCCAATACCCGAATACCCTCACCAATTTTAACATTGTTAAGTATGTAAGAAAATATAAAGTGTAAACAAACCCTAATATGATTATGCATTTGAATAATAATGAAAATATAAATTCATCCACCCTAACTAGGTCTCATTCGGAGAGACGATAAGACAAGTTGGGCACAAGCAGGGACGGGGACACAAGTCACTTCTGTACTTTCTGCTTGACTTTGCCATAATTCTCAAACTGCTATAAAAAGGAGTATTTGTTTTGTTCAAAATGAACAGAAAGACACTAGGATGATATAATGCAAGTCTAAGACACTTTGCTTGTATTCTTATGAGAAAAAAGGTGATCCACAATCTAAGCAAGTCTTTGGCGCTAATTTCCACCTTACAGGAATCTTTTATCTAGAGAGGAGCAGCGTGGTAGTCAGGAAGAGCTAGGAAACGGAAGGGAGACCCGGGCAGGACAGGATGGCTCTAGACGAGACACAACAGAACACAACTGCCATGATGGGAGGACGTGAATCTGGACAAAGGGCGTAGATCAGGAAGACATTTTGGGACAACCGAGCAAACACGAGTAAGAACTTCTAAGATACTGTTCATTTTCAAAATTCTCTAGCATGCATTTGTTGGAAAACTAATTAATATTTCACAGGAATGAGCACAAACACACTAAGACTCCCTAGGATAAAACAGACTTTGTAAATCAGTAACTCACATGTTGGTACTACTGGAGGAATTGCAGGGGGAGGTACAACAGGTGGGGGAACCGGAGGTGGCATAAAACCTACATGGGAGAAAAAAGACCAAAATAAAACAGCACAAAGAAAATGACTTGTTTAAATCAAAGGGTTCAAGATTTATAAATGAACTTCCACATTTTCTTATTGTTTTACCGTGGGGTCCTCACTCTGCTACCCAGCTGGTGTGGAACCTGTGGGCTAAGTCATTCTGCTTCAACCTCCTGAGAAATGGGAATTGTGGAACATTACTTAACTATGTAAAGATGTATCAACTTGTTTCTGTGGCAGAATATTACTTCAACTATGTAAAGGTGTGTTATATTTGTTTCTGTGGCATTTGTTTAACAATGTAAAGATGTGTTGCTTTGCCTAAGGCACCCGATTGGTCTAATAAAAAGCTGAAAGGCCAATAGCTAGGCAGTAGAGAAATAGGTGGCCTGGCGGGGAGGGAGAATAAGTAGGAAGAAAAATCTAGGCTCCAGGGAAAAGAAAGCTAGGGACAGAGAGAGAGATACTCAGGGACAGCCAGTCAGGCAGCTACCCATCAGCCACACACCGAAGCAGCAGGAAAGCAGGACAGACAGAATGAAAGAAAGGTAAAAAGCCCCGAGGTAAAATGTAGATGAAGAGAAACAGGTTAAGTTAAAAGAACTAGTGGGACAAGCATAAGATAAGGCCGAGCAATCATAACTAATAATAAGTGCCTGTGGCTTTATTTGGAAGCTGGTTGGTGGCACAAAAGAAAGCCTACTACATGGGGACCTCAGTGCTCCACTATAACAGCAAATTTTCACAGCCTTAAAATGGCCTCCATTATCATGCTGATGGATCTGTGCAATATTCTCCACTGAAAATGACTTCTATATACACTTTACTTGATTCCCATAAGCGAGATAAAGCAGTTACCCTGATCATAAGGTTCTATTTATTTACTCACTCATTCAAGTCTGGTGAAATGCTCTGCACTGCAGATCGGTGTCATTAGCGACAGAATCAACTGGTTTATGTTAGAATGCTGATCACAGGAAAAGTGCTAAACCTACCTCAAGCTACTGGTCACAACACTTAAATTAAGCTATACATCTGTCGGCTATTTTATTTCTTGATACATTATGCTCTTTACCACTAGGTTGAAATATTTTGTTAACTTTAGATGGTATGTTTTAAATTCTTGAATGAAAATCTTAAACTACAATGACATTTTTATGATCCTACAGACCACATGACCAAATTATAAATCTGTTTCTTTGCAGTTTTTAAAGGTAGAGTTACTGTTAAATTAAATTAGAAAATATTGAGTAAAAATAAAAGCGGCTGAAAGATGTGACCCAATGGATCAAAGTCTGGAGAAGAGACCCACAAAGCTAGTTCTGCTGTGTGTTCAAGTCTGAGAACCACCGCTCTATGGCACTGGGACCCCAAAAAAGAACATCAACAATATTCTAAACAGAGTTCAGACAATAAGATATAAATTCCTTACCAGGAGGTGGTTGAGAAGGGTTAAAACTTGCTCGTAGAAAAGGAGGAGGAGGGATTGGGCTGAATCCAGGAGGTGGGACCGGCATTGACACAGGAAACGCTGGTGGAACTAGACTAACTGCAGGAACCGCTGGAGCTACTGGAATCTTTTATGGGTAGAAAAATGTCTGTTAGCCAATTTATCCACTTGAAGTGATTATTACATTTTGGCATAAAGGCAAATACATTTTTTTAAAAGGAAAGCAATAAATGTCATTACATTTAAGTTTCTCTTTTTCTATACTTTTTGAGTCAATCTTCTTAGGGTTAAAGCAGACAGTATGAGTCAATAGGAAATTTACCTGGAGAGTGTAAGATCTCTCTGACATTTAAATGAATTAATGAGAACTCAGTTAAGCACTAAGGCTCAGCCTTCAGACTCATCAGCGCTTGCTCGACCACCAGGCTGCCTCTACAAAGCATGCAACAGAAGCTTTCAAAGAGCATCAAATTCCCTAAACTCTGTTATCTAATCTTAACACAAATATCTTTTATTCATCATAGCCAAAAAAAGCCCCAAACTCCTCTCTAGCATGGCTTTATCTCTTTCCTGAACCTCAAATGTTACCAAGTCTGTTTAGCATCTCAACTTAATTGCCTAAAGAGTACTATACTGTAAAGGTCACATGAATAGAAAATGAACTCCCAATTGCTATTCCCAAGAGACTGCTCCTCGAGTTATTCTCTATTCTTAGAAAATGATAGCTCCCATATTTCTAATTTCTTGGACCTAGTATCTTTCTCCTTTTTTCAACTCCAATCAATAATCGAGGAAACCCCGCTAGTTGTACCTTCCAAGTCCTCTACTGTCTGACACTCCTCTTTACTTCTGTTACATTCTTCTCCGTGTCACAACCACCTCTCATGTATATTGCTACAGTGATTTTCACTCCATCTCCTTTTATAAATGTTCAGTGTAGCCTATTCACTATAAACCGTATCCAGTGCAATGTTTTACAAGTCATTCCTCTGATCCTCCTCCTCCAGTGGTTCCTTTAACTCACAATGAAGATGAATTCCTTTGAGAGCTGAGCTTACAGGCATGACTCTAGCCACTTGCTAGTCCTGGAGCACCAAGCACGCTCCTGGCATCTGACCTTCAGTGTGGATTTCTTCTGCTTGTAATGTTCTTGCTCAGATGCTGGAGTGGATCATTTCTTCACCATCCAGCTGTTCAACTAGCACCCTCGGCACTGTCTTAAGACTGCAGGCAGCAGTGCAGACATTCTTGACCACCGCATTCTACTCTTCTACTCCCAGGACCTAGCTCACCCTCTCCGTCTGTCTCCCCGAATGACAATGAAAACTCAGGTTTACCACAGGTGTACCCCAAACCCCAGAGCTCCTACGACAGTGCACGACTCAGCACTGGCACTCAGTACATATTTAATGCACAAACATTTAAGTATGAATAGTATCATTTCCAACAACAATGATTTTTCAAAATGTTTCACTAAATTCGGTGAAATAATCTAATGAATTTATCAAATAATGTTATTGATACAAATTTGCTTGCACAGAAAGCTTAAGTCTAAAGAAACTATCACAAATCTGAAGGTGTTATAGCTCCTAGTCCTCAAGCGGTTAGTACAATGATGCACTGCATATGAAGAACGTTTTTAACATCTGAAAGACAAGCAGTTCTCTGTCCTAATTGGGACAACAGACTCCAGCTGTCACACATCAACAACTCAGCTTTGGAAGATGGATGGTGGCGAAGAAGCCAGCGAGTACTAACCTGCAGCATGGCCACAGGCGGAGGGAAAACCTCTGCCTGTGTTGTAACCACTGTCTCCTTTTCAACTGGAGTTGGACTCTGTGTAGTCTGGACCGTCTCTTTAACGGGTTCTGAGGTTTTCACAGTTTCCCATTCTAAACAAAATATTTGAAATTCATTTCCTTTAAATGCAGCTTTTCAGGTTTGTATTTTTTTTCATTTACATTAACATCTAAACCCTTGCCAGATCTATCTTCGCAAATCTAAAAATAACACATGAGATAAAAATGACAACACTGAGCTGTAACAGAAATACCTCATAAGTCACCTGATTATGAGAAACCAGACCTGTTCTGTATATTATCAAGCACAAAAAACAAAGTATTAGCTCAATACAGAAAAAGCCTCCAAAGAACAGAAAAATGGAAGTAGCTGGGCATGTAGCACATGCCCGAAGCTGAGCGCTTAGGAAGTAGAGGCCCTAGGACAGGAGTTAGAGGCCAGCCTGGGTAACATGATGTCAATCATGGTCCTGTCTTTTTCTGAGCCAAGAGCAAACATGAGTAGTCAGCTTTGGCTTCTGTGCATCTGCCTTCATCTCTTGTATGTTCCATGTTCATGAAGCTCTGGCATGCTGCTTCCCAAAGTGGATACATGTTTCACATATTCAGATATGCACTACCCCCAAAGAACTATATCCACTCACAATGTAATGCTCCCATGGCTCAGTTCTCTTCCCCGTGTGTGTGTGTCTGTGTGTCTCTTTGAGACAAGGTCTCACCATACAGCCTGGCCTGGAACTTGGTATGTGGACCAGGCTAGCCTAAAAGAAATACAGAAACCTGTCTCCCAAGAAATAGGATTGAAGGCATGTGCCCGACCATGCCTGGTCTGTGCTTTATACCAACACAGAAATCCTATATAGGTTTTCTTGCTTATTATTTATTTCTTTTGATTAGAACATGTTTGGTTCCCCACCCCACCCCACCCCCCGAATACATAGTAGAGACTTTATAGGCCAGGGGTCTCTCTGTTCTAAATATATACTTGCTGCTATAAACAAGCAAACAAGCAAGCAAACAAATGGGGAGAGGGGAGAGGGGGAGGGGGAAAGAAAGGAAAGAAAAAAGAAAGGAAAGTCCTGAAAACTATGTACACAAACAAGCATGGTTGTGGTCCCACAGAGCTCCTTTTTCCCAACAGGCCACTGGCGGGCTCCAGTGCAGACTCCAGACCATGGCAGTCTGTGCCATACAAGTCAAAGGTGATCGCTGCATTCTGTTTCCCTATTACGTCAGCTCCTGAAGAATCAACTTGTCACACAGCAGAGACTTAGACAACTGAAAGAAAGACTGTCCTAGGAAACAGGCAGCAAACAAGACACTGGGTTGATCTGGGTGGTCCTGCGGTTCAAATCAAGGACCCTGCACATGCTAAGAACATGTTCTCCTACCTGAGGGCCATCTCCAGGCAGAAGGCAACAATATCAAAAAGATGTCTGCATATGTTCCTAACCATAAGAACAACCCTGAAAGCAGGTTAGTTTTTGGTAAGAGAGCTAAGACGCAAAGAAACACAGAACAGATTACATTTTGGATCAATCCCAAATATCAATTAGAGTACTTCCTTCTGGTTGTAGCTAATTGTGAATTTATAACTGTGAATTTTTTTAAATAAAAAAAATACTGGTACTTTTTAAAAGAGCGGGGCATACAATTATTTGGTTATGGGCAATGTAGGAAGTGTTTCAGAAGGTATTACGCTGCAGTACTTGAGTACACTACTAAAAATGAACTCCACCTAAAATCTTCTGGAATTTCTCCAACAAGTTCCTCAAATCCTCAGTTCCCACTTAAAACTGATGGAATTAAAACTTGTTTTCTTCAACAAAGCCTCCATGGTACAAAGCTTTCTCTTCAATATAATAAAAATGCTAAATCATAAGAGAAAAAGGACTACATTTGGAGGCTTTCATTCAGTACTTTTCTAAACTGTTCCTTGACACCGAATGATACACAAAACACTGAAAAAGCACCATCAGAAAAGGGCATCATCTCTTCTTTTGCAGCTGACTCCAGGGAATAAGCACAGTTTACTCTGCATCCCCAAACACATTTACATAACAACCTTCTAAAGTACACTTTTAAATAATAAAAAGCATTAGCATTCTCACCAGCATTTACAGTTTCCTGGTCTATCATGCCTCCTTCTGCAAAGCCATCCAAGTCATCCACTTTAACTTTTTCCCAAGGTATATATGTGACTCCAAGATCCACATCCCAGAACTGTTTATATTCCGTCTTTACACCTTTGTTCAAAGCCCAGGCAATCTATTGGGAATGGGGAGAGAAAAAGAAGGAAGATAACAGATACACTATAATAAAAATAAAGCTCAAAATCATATTTAAGCAAATAGAAACAAAACTCGTTTTCTTGAGTACTTGTTTTAAACTTGCACTGGAGATAATATTTGCAATATAAGATCTGTTTCCATGTCTTACCCACCTCTAAACTCATTTTTGGAGAAAACACAAGTCTAATTTTCACAATAAAAAATCACAGCTCGATTGGCAATAACTAGGCAACTTTGTACACCATGCCAGCATACATAAGCAATACCTGAGTTTACACACATGAACTATCAGGAAAGGGTAAAGATGGGCAGACATACTCTTCAGAAAGAGTTGAGTTTTAACTTAGGCACAGAAGCTGACTGAATACATTCTCTCTCTAAAAGTCAAGATGAAATTCTGAGTCAATCACCAGCAATGAGAAAACATTTCATAAATTCTCAATTTAAAGACTAAGAAGAAAACAAATGCTTGCAGATACTCTTTACAAGGTGGCTGGCTAGATAAAACGAGAAGGAATAATAATAATAATAATAATAATAATAATAATAATAATAAAACAAGTGCTGGGAGAAAAAGTAAATCAAAGACAAATCTGTAAATATGAACAGGCTCTAACCAAGATGAGGTGTGAGCTGGTACAAATTTGTGTAGGTGAGAATTTAAGGAACAAACTCAATTTTGGCTAGTAAGTTAGTGTACATATTCTGAACTATAATAACTCAATAATTCTTTTTTTTTGTTTGTTTGTTTTTTTGTTTGTTTTTCGAGACAGGGTTTCTCAGTGTAGCTTTGCGCCTTTTCCTGGAACTCACTTGGTAGCCCAGGCTGGCCTCGAACTCACAGAGATCCGCCTGGCTCTGCCTCCCGAGTGCTGGGATTAAAGGCGTGCGCCACCACCGCCCGGCTTATAACTCAATAATTCTAACACCATAAGTTTGCTAGGAACATTAAAGATAAGGTTGAGTCTAAACTCAATGTAAGAATATGTGCTTAAATTAACATGTTCAAGACTCTGAGTCTGATCCACATCAAGGGGTAAGGGGTGAAAAGTACTGGAGCATTCTAACAGTCCAAACAAATAAGACCACATGACCTTCCTATGAAAAACTCAAGACTGTAACACAGCAGGTGCTGGAATGTTAGTCGTCACTCCACCATAAACTCACCCAGGAAAACTCACCTTAATGACCTTGGAACCAATTTTATAGGATCCTGAACTCAGTTTCTGAAGAGCCCGAAAAGAATCTTGTCGATGAACCATACAGACATATGCACAGCCCCTGGGTGGAATCATCTATGAGGGGAAAATCCTTTCTTAACAGCGAGCACAAGGATGGACATTGATTCTGACATTTGCTTCTAGTCAAACAGAACACAGTGACAACTGACTAAATCTACAATTCAATTTTGGTAGATGACCAAATTAACTGTCTTTCTATCTCCAACACTGTTTATTGATGCAACATATGCAATCAATTATTCAGTTTTCATAAGCCCCATATTCATGCCTTAATTAGGCTTCCATTTAAGCCATGATAAAGGTGAACTCTTGAATAGATGTCATCAGTTCCTTGACTACAGAATACAGAACATACTATTAAAACAAAGGAATGGACAGCTCCATTTTCAAGCTGGCAGGTAAAACAGAGGGAGGAAGAGAAAGAGAGAGGAACAGGGAAATCTTGTTGACAAACATTTAATGCTTTTAAGAATTAAGAGCTATCCTGCTACAAAACCCTATGATATGTATGATACATTATTAAAAAGGAGATATAAATGGCTTCAAAGCAAGCATAGAAAAATGAACAAAATAAATCTTGTCAAGTTGTGCAGATACTATGGGGCTTAACTAGTATGTGAAGAGTGAAAAACAGCCATTTTAAAACACTGTCTTAGTGCTCAAGAGATACCTACATTAATAGATTCAATTTGTCCAAACTCCTCAAAAAGGTTGGTTAGATCTTGCTGTGTAGCCTTCTTATCCACTTGGCCAACCCAGAGAGTAGTGCTGCACACTGTCAAGACAAAGAAGCAGAGGGCTTAAATCACAAAGACACAGCTGCCTCAAGCATTAATAACAATGGCTCAAACTGAAGGGAACATATATTGAATATCTGACAGCTACACACAGAACTCCTACATTTTAAACTGACTGACAGGCCTGAAGGCTCAGCGGTTAAGAATAGGGGCTACTCTTCTAGACGACCCGAGTTCGATTCCAGCACCCACATGGTGGCTCACAAAAATCTATAACTCCAGTCTCTGAGAAGCAACACCCTCTTATAACTTGTGCAGGCACTAGGCACATATGTGGTGCAAAGACACACATGCAGGCAACACGCCAATATGCATTTAAAAAAATAAAAATAAAGATAAAAGCCAGGCAGTGGTGGCACACACCTTTAATCCAAGCACTAAGGACACAAAGGCAAGTGGATCTCTGAGTCTACAAAGTGGGTTCCAGAAGGGCCAGGGATACACAGAAAAATTCTGTCTCAAAAACCAAACCACAACAAAAACCTGACTGACATTTAGTATCTATTTACATTTCTATGGAGCCAACTTCCTACATGCACCAATTTGCAAGCTGAACACCTGTGGACACCTCTGTCCAACCACTGGAGAAAAGTGCTATGTGAGATTAGGAGAGAAGTTTAAAATTCCCCAGCTGACACTAAAGTACTTCAAAATAGTTTTGAAACTATTTCCTACCTATGGACCTTCTTAATATCCGAGTGTTGGAATGACTCAGTGGATGTTTCTTCCTAACCAACAGATAAATCTAAACCTGTATGAGCTGCCTCATCCATAGGGAAATAAGACTTTGCCGAGAGACACAAAAAGGAAATGGTTAAATCAGGACTCCCTAATTTGAAGATGAATTGACTGGCATGTCTTTGTGTGTGCCACTCATGTATGCAGAGGCCAGAAGAGCGTGAACTCCTTAGAGCCTCAGAACCACACACGGATGGACATGACCTGAATGCTGGTCCTCACGACTGAGTAGCAGGTGCTCTTAACCTCCAGCCTGCAAGCTGCTTCTGTTTGAGGCACAAATACCTCCTTTTCCAGACAACACACATGCACAGTTTTAATGTATTGCATGTTGATGTTTGTCCATGTCGTTTTCCAGCACTTTAACCCTGACAGAAGAGGTCTAGGAGCAGGCTTTTCTAGGGTTAACTTAACCACATACTAAAGTGTGATCCTTGACAAGACCACTACCAAGAAACTCTACTCTTGCTGGTCAGAACTCCAACACCATTCAGATGCACACAAATTTTGAGAACTATCTAGCTAACACAGACCGTGACAACTGCCCTTTCGCAGCAAGTTTCTTCTGTCTCACAGTCTCATTCTATGTAATTCTCAACTCATGTTTCATCAATAATCTTCAACTTTTTAATTTTTACATTAAATCCCAGGGACCAGTGAGATGGCTCAGCAGACAAACTTGCTTTGCCAGGACTTATACCCTGAGTTTCACCCAAGAAACCTCCCCAGTGGAAGGAGAGAAGTGACTCCTCTAGGTTGTCTTCAGACCACACGCACATATGGGGCACATGGGAGCACACACAAACACATACACACAGAATGAGAGTGAGAGAAATGCATACATTTTTAAGTGGATCTTTAAGAGACTACAAAGTCTGCTTTTTAACAGAGTGCAATAATTGAAATGGAATGTGTCTCCCAAAGTCTCATATGTCATAGGCTTAGTCTTTACCGAATAGCACCATTAAAAAATCGGTGAAACTTTTAAGAGATGCGGCTCAAGTGGGATCCTGCCCTTGAAGGGGATAACTGTCTTCATTCTGCTTTCCAGACACAATGAACAGTCAAAAGGAGCAAGCTCAGGCAACTTTAAACTGCAAATACATCCTTACTGATTTCACAGTGACAGAAAGCTGCTCCACTACCATGTAGTGGAATGCAGTGTAGGCCAGTCTGTTGATGTGGAGGTAAACAGCTTTGGGGCTTTATCACCTTACAATAATGCTTTCTGCTTCATTACCCTGCTCTGTAGACTCTAACTGCTTTAGTCTATGCTACTGTTTGCTAATTTTACAATGCCGCTCTACAATTTTTTTGTCCTAAGAAGAGGTCATGATTCTTCCCAATCCCAAAGAGAGGCAATACTTCATTATTGGGATATTAGTCTGTTGATGCTTGACACCACTGACTGTCCCTGAAAGCTCCGCATGGTACAATCGATGTCCAGAACCACCAGTGGCGAACTCAACCACCCTAGTTCAAATGTGTTCAAAGAACAGCCATTAAATGAAATTGGTTCTACTTCAAGATAAGGAAAGGTTTATTTTGTTGTTGTTTTTCGAGACAGGGTTTCTCTGTGCAGTTTTGGTACCTGTCCTGGAGCTTGCTCTGTAGATCTGCCTGGCTTTGCCTCCTGAGTGCTGGGATAAAAGGTGTGCGCCACCATCACCCAGCCTAATAAGGAGAGTTTTAAGGTACAGTACACAATGGAAGATACAGTCACCATTGTGTTTTCTCATGTGCTTGTTGAGTTTTCCATCTTAAAATGTCTAACTATTAAAAAAATAAAACAGCACCGGGCTGGGGTGGTACACGTCTTCTAGTCCCAGTATTTGCTAGGTAGAGACAGGTAGATCTCTGTGATTTCAAGGCCAACCTGATCTACAGAGTGAGTTTTAGGATAGCCAGGACGACACAGAGAAACCCCCGTCCTGAAAAAAACAAAACAAGCAACACACACACACACACACACACACACACACACACACACACACACACACACACACACACACACCAGCAATAGAAAATAAATTCCATTAAGATTCAGCCACAAAAATGAAATGAAATTCTGATGCTTGTGAAACATCTACGGAACCAGAGGGAATCATATAAAGGGAAATAAGTCAAGACAAAAAGAATACTGTGTTTTCTCACTACTAGGTGGAAACTGAAAAAGCTGATGTCACAGAAGTAGAGAACCTAAGAGAAGAACAGAAGGCTGGGGAAGGTATTCGATGCACAGACAGGGGTTGACAGTCAGGCACAAAACACCTTTGGCAAAAGGAACCTAGCCTGCAAAGCACACACAGATCTTTGCAAACAAGTCTAAATGTGGATAGTGTCTAAAACTTCAGAAAAGAGACTGAGAGCTCAATATCAGGTGGTGAGGAAGGGCAAAAGAACACAAGTCATGAACATGAAAGAGGATTTAAAAGCTGTTTATTTCTTTCAACTCTATCACAGTGTTTCTTACATGGCTGGTAAGTGCATGCATGCAACGTTCTATGTCTACTGCAACAGGAAGAACGGTTTTCATTATCTAAAAGAACCCAGCACCTGCTATTCCTGAGGCAGCACCTGTGGAGGCTGGGCTTGCTTCCTAATGCAACTAACATTTCAGCAAGAGAACTAGACACCACAGGTCACTGAGTCACATATCACATTGAGCCACGTAGAACGTGAATTTTTTTTTTTTTTAAATCTTGAGGCAGCAGCTGTGTGTGTGTGTGTGTGTGTGTGTGTGTGTGTGTGTGTGTGTGTATAACCTGAAAGTTTCCACTTTTTTCTTTGATGCAAAACTACATCAAATTATTCTACTACATTGTTATTTAACATAAATAAAGTACAGTTTTATTTTTAAGAGGAATAATGATGTTCTACAGCAGTAACAACAGTTAAATAATCATTTGAGTTTTACATGTTAATTGCCCTAATTTGATCATTATATGGTATTAGCATGTACAAAAATACCATGTTGTACCCCATAAGTATGTATAATTATGAGGTGTCAAACACAATATATTTGAGGAACTGGAGAGAGGGCTCAGCAATTAAGAGCACATGCTATTCTTATGGGAAACTCAGATTCAGTTCCTACCACCCACATGGCAGCTCACAGCTGTCTATGTGTCTAGTTAAAAGGATTCAATGTTCTCTTCTCACCTCCATGGGTATTAAGTACACATGGGGTATGCACACATACATGCATGTACACAAAACACTCATACATATGAAAGTACATCTTTTTGAAAAAGCACAAAACTTCTCAAAGAGAAGAGTGGGTTCCATGCCTGTGCCAGTTGGTTTTTATGTCCACTTGGACAAGGTAGAGTAATCCGAGAGGGGGAAACCTCAACCAAGAAAAGGCCTCTGCAAGATGGGCTGCAGGCAAGCCTGCTGGGCATGTTCTTTAGTAATGACTGATGTGGGAGGACGTAGCCCTTGTGGGTAGTGCCCCTCCTGGTCTGGCAGTCCTGGGTTCTGTAAGAAAGCGGCTGAGCAAGCCAATAAGCAGCACCCTCCACAGCCTCTGCTTCAGCTCCTGCCTCCAGGTTCCTGCCCTGACTTCCTTCAATAACGAACAGTGATGTGGAACCATGAGCAGAATAAACTCTTCCTCCTCAAGTTGCTTTTGGTCACGGTGTTACATCACAGTGATAGTAGCCCTGACTAAGGCAATGCTCAATAGCATCACAAAGTGCGTGAGGAATACTTGAAGAGATAGTAAATTGAAAGCCCTACTGTTAAGAAAGTAGTGATTCTCAAAGACCCAGGGGTTAATACACAAATGTAGAGCAGAGATTTGGGGGGTGGGGGGTCAGTTTTTTTTATATTATTTGTCAACCAACACTAAAATATTTAAATTTGGTCCCTTATGATGAGGAGCAAATAGAATTTGCACTATTCAGAAGTTGCAATAGCAACTTTATAATGTGAGAAGGTTCTGGAAAGAGACGCGGGGGTCTACTGAAATTGCCAGAACTTATTAAAAAGATGTCACTGCCTTTGATTTTTGGGAGCCTGAATTTCAAGATGCTCTAGCAGTATCAAATGAGGGTTTGAGTTCACTTTCCAGGAGCCACATAAAAAGCCTAGGATGTGTGTGATCCCAGTGCAGGCAAGTCCACACACGGCTATCTATAGGAATTACTGATGCGGGGGTGACTTATGTGAAGACCACCAGAAAGTAACACGAGTCTCTAGCTCTTGGGCAAATGACAATGTACTCTCTGTCACATGCTTCCTTGGTCACCTGTCGTCTGTCAGTTCTCCCTAGACATGGTAATGCATTAACAAGCCCCTAGACAAAACCTGGCAGAAACAGAAAACTCATTTGTTGTACTGAACGTGATCCTTATCCTAGCCAGCTCCTGAAATAAACCCTGCCATGACCAAATCTGTTAAGTACACAAAATCGCCTACCATAACAGGCTGTACTACAGCCATTTCTCTTCTGGTACAGACCATAAGTTTGTAATTTAACAATTACACCAAAGTTGAGCTAGGGGTTTAGCTCAGTTATACAGATTCACCTAGCAGGTACAAAACCCTGGGTTTAATCTCCAACACCACACCCACCCACACTCACACACACAGAAACAGAATATAAAAATAAGTATATAAAAATGAAGCAAAGTACACCTTTGTGTCCTAATTACTCCTACAGATCTGAATACTCACAACTGTTAGTACTGACAGCAGTCAGCTGACACTGTCATGTTACAGGTATCAGCCTGGTATGTTTTATGTACCCTTGGTAAAGCCACACTTCACAACTTGCATTAAGCATTCTTGATGATCTTACATATATCTGCTAATCTGTTTTTCTTTCACAAAAGTCTGAGTCAAAGCCATTTAATTACTAATAAGCTCCTTCCTTTTCAGTTTCTTACTCTGAAAATAAAATTGGTTAAGAGATTTTTATAGCAGAAAGCTAGTTTGTTTATTTACTTGTTCTGGAGGAGGTAGTGACCTCCATCATATGTAGAGACCAGAGACCAACTGCTGTGGAACAATCTTTGTACACTGTAAACAGGTATTACTCTCACTGGTTAATAAAGAGCTCACTGGCCTACAGCTGGGCAGGAAGAGACTGAGAGGAAGAGCCAGACTAGGAGAATTCTCGGAAGAAGGACAGAGTCAGAAGAGTAGCAAGCCAGATGCAGAAGAAGCAGGGCATGTACAAAATGAGGTAGCAAGCCATGAGCCACATGGTATAACTTAGATAAGAAATATGGGTTAATTTTAAGTTGTAAGAGCTAGTTAGTAATAAGCTAGCTAGTAACAGAGTAGTAAGTAATAAGCCTATAGGCTGAGTATTTATAATTAATATTGAGTCTTCGTGTCAGTTATTTGGAAACTGGCAAGCGGGAAAGAAAAATCCACCAACACCCAACCTTAGGTATACTCCCTCAGGAACTGTTGTTTCTGACGCACAGTCATTCGCTGGCCTGGAGTTCACCAAGTAGGCTAGGCTGGATAGTGTGGAATGTACCTGTGTGCACCTTCCCAACACCAGGGTTACACACCTTTCCAGGCTTTTCCTGTGGGCTTCTGCAGCAAGCACTCGGCTAACCTAACCTGCGTTCTTTCCACAGCAACAGAAAACTAGTTTCCAACACTAAGAGGGAAGTCTGATTGATGCAAGTATGTTGTTACTCACCACTTAGAGTTTTTGATCTGACAGGAGGCAATCCCTTTTTTTGGCGTTCTTTCTCCCTTTCTCTGGCTCTTCTTTCACTTGAATATGACCGTGATGATTTTCTCTTTCTTTCTCTAGAGCGGGAGCGGGATCGCTTCCTATGTTTTCGCTTTCTCGACCCAGATCGTGACCTGGACCTTCGTTTTCTTGGTGATCTACAAAAACACAGTTATTTTTACTTCTAATGACAGTGTTATCTTTCCATCAAACCTTTCAATTCGAAGTGAATGAGAAAAGGCAGCATTTGTCATATTTAACCACCTCTTAAACTATTCTATAGTATAATCAACTATTAAACATGTATTCCACTGTAGTTTTGTGCTATGGATAGACAGACTACTAATAGATGTTAGATGAATGATTCCAAGTCTGAGACTTCATTCATTAAAAACAGAGGAAAAATACAATTCACTAAAGGACCTCACTTTCTCTTAGTGTCTTTCAGTTCATTTTCACACAGAATAGGAATAAAAAGCAAAGAAAATACAGACTACTTAGGTGACTCAAATGTTACATTTTTAAATTAAGAGGCAGAATATTTCCAGCACAGTACGAACACAGAGTATAATCCTGTTTAATACTTTACAACTTCTAAAAGGTTATCACTCTTGACTTTACAATGTAAGCTGATGCTGTCACTTATTTACTGCACATGTTTGCAAATGTTCCTATGTAAAAAGGGGAATGTGAAAATACCAAAGACTTGTGACATGGTTTTGATTATAGGACCCGTTTTCTATTGCCTTGCGAGTGTACTTAACATTCAAAAAACCTGTTCTGTGGCTGTCTTTAAAGACATTGTTGGTACTGCTATTCAATAATTTGGATGTAAGAAATACAGCCTGACTTATATGCTGTTCAGAAGCAGTAATACCCCAAGTAAGATACCGTGCTAGTATCAACTAAAATCAACTATAATCCAAAATCACAACCTCATGATAACAGCTGTTCCTGTTAAATAAAGTACTCAAATAGCAGACCTATCACAAAGGTTATCTCTGGGTTTTATTTTCAATTACTTCTAAAAAATACTTTTTAGAAAGTATTTTAAAAATTACTTTAAGTATTTCTTTTAATCTTGACGCAAAGAAAAAAAACAAACATTACTGTTAAATATTATTATAGAACCTTGATCGAGATCGCGAATGGGTTCTTGATCTTGAGCGAACAGCTACTTTCTTAGCTTCTGGTTCAAAGATCTCCTCTTCAACAACATCTTGTCCTTCATCAATATCCATATCCTTGGAAAGCAAAGTTAAGAGCATATAAACAAAACGAGCAGTTAAGATTTAGCATACAAGTGCAGTTCTACCTTAAAAATAGTAGCAATGAAGCATTAATGCCTCACAGGTAACAAAGCTAGGGATGTGGAACACCCACAAGACAAACTGCATCCAGGATACAATATATTCAAAAATGGCTTTGGACTTTATGGCCCAGAAACGCACTGACTTTTACCTGTTGCTGAATGTCTATGGAATCATCTAAATTTGCTTCAGGTTCCAGAAAATGCTGCTGGCTACTTCCTTGTGAGGGTGATGCTGAGTGCTCTGACCCAAATGTTCCCTCCTGGCTATCTTGAGGAGTTACCTGTTGAGAACAAACAAATGTTCTGAGACAACATCACTACAAACGAGAACTTGAATACAGCAAACATTATAATTAAATGCTGAAAGGGAGTCATATTCCTGGCAAGCCATCCTTAGAGTAATTCACCTGAAGTATTTTGTATAAATCCAAGTCTACTTTTAAAAAGTAGAGTCCCATAAAAAGGGCACTATATATATTTGTATAAAATAGTTAGATGAGCCGGGCGGTGGTGGCGCACGCCTTTAATCCCAGCACTCGGGAGGCAGAGCCAGGCGGATCTCTGTGAGTTCGAGGCCAGCCTGGACTACCAAGTGAGTTCCAGGAAAGGCGCAAAGCTACACAGAGAAACCCTGTCTCGAAAAACCAAAAAAAAAAAAAAAAAATAGTTAGATGAAGTATGTCCTCAAGAACATTTTTAAGTGTCAGAAATATAAACTATTGAGGAGTAATACAGAGACAATACTTAATGGTACTTAATGGTAATACATTAAGTGAATCTAGAACTACATGATTAATTACTATCAACAAAATACTCTGAAGGTCCAATTAAAACCTTATATTCAAAAACTTAAATCACATATTATATGCCTAGAAGCAAAACCATACCCAAAGTCACTACCAAAATTAGTGACTTAGCAAAACTATCCCCAACTAGGTTCTGCCCCAACTACTTTCTCTAGAATTCATAAAAGTTACAGGAAATACAGTGTGATGTGTAATATTTAAAGTTTTAGTACAAGTTAGGCAAATAAAGACAAACTTAGGGGAACAAGGAATGCCCCCACAGTCCTAAGAAGGAGTACAGACAGTAACAATATATAGTGATGTTGCTAACTTGGTGTTAATAAGTATGACCTGAGTAACAATTTAAATACTGACTTAATTAAAACATGAAGAAACTCAATATGGGAGAAACAATCTGGCAGAAAATCTTCTAGAACATGATCTTACAGGAATCTAGAAGGAGTAAGTTCCTGGTGGTACACAGGCTAAAAACAAAGAAAAGAACAACTACACACCCATGTTCCCTTGTTACAAACTGTTCAGGAACAATCAACTCCCAAAAAGAGAGAACAGCCCACACACCTTAGACATGCAAAAGCAAGATGAAGGGAAAGGGAAAGGCATGAATTCACAAAGAACAGACAGCAGTGAACATGCCACATACTATCCCAGCAGGAAATAACCAGCTCTAGTTAAAGGTTTAAGAAAGTCTATTCACCAGGCATAGGGGTACACGCCTTTAAACCCAGCACCTGGGAGGCAGAGGCAGGCAGGTCTTTGTGAGTTCAAGGCCAGCCTGATATACATAGTCAGTTCTAGGACAGATGGGGCTACATAATGAGATCCTGTCTCAATAAAAAGAAAAAGAAAAAAGAAAGTCTAAGCAATTAAACAGGCAAGCACAGGAGGTTAAGACCTGCTGGTGAGGATAAGCTTTGTGCCTCATGGTGATATTCAACTAGACACTAGCACAAGACCTAGAGAGCTTTGTTCCTGGAAGTCATTAGGAGTCTGGTAGTCACAGTGGTGTCCTCACTGTGTGGGGGGGACCACAGGGCACTTTGGTTCTGCTTCAGTTGCATTGTTCAATAGTCTCCTCAGGCTGTCTTTTTACTGAAACACCATACAGGAAGAGTGTGAAGTATATGCATTAACAGGATACATGGGTCAGAGTAATCCTGGAGCTGACAGCCTTAGGAATTTATATCATCTTAGTATGTATATTTTCCTAAATATACAAGTTTAGAATAAACTAAACGTTCTGTGAATGGTTTACTTCAAGTTCAGAATATAAGGTTCAGTGGGTAAAGGTACCTGCCACCAAGCTTTAGGACCTGGACTCAACCCCTGAAGCTCACACAGTAGGTAGAGCAAGAGAACCAATTCCTGAAAGCTTTCATCTGACCTCACACACGTGCTACCCCAAAATAAAGAAATGAATGAAAATCAAATTAATCAAGGCAGGCAGTGGAGGCACATGCCTTTAAACCCAGCACTTGTGAGACAGAGGCAGGCAGATCTCAGTGAGTTCGAGGACAGCCTATTCTACAGAGTTCCAAGGCAGCAGGTAAGGATAGAGAAACCCAGCCTGAGGGAGGAAAAGGGGAAAATTAGTCCATACTATGCTTTTTACAAAAGTGAACTTACACTGGCTATAATCTGAAATCTATTTTCCCTCCATTTCATTCTCAATGCAAATTACAATGTGATAACATAGAGTTGCTATCTTATATTTGGTTCTTTAATACACCATTACAATAAACAATTTTGATATAAGACTAGGATTTCTATAGTGTTTAAGCTGCATTAAACCAATTGGCATAGTAATCTGTCTACAAGAAAATCGAAAGTATGTTGCTCTTATGAGTGGTACATTTTACAACTAGAAGGAAAGAAGGCATCATAAAATTCAGGGCAGAGTTTTAAGTAACTATTGTTAAGTCCCTCAGTATCTGAGGAACAGGCAGTTTTTGTTTTGTTTCAAAGTTGATAAATATACATTAAGCAAAAGTCAGAACAGACAAATGTCTCCTGAATCACAATAGAATCAAAAGGCAGTCAATAAGTATAGCCTTTGTTTATCTTTTCCTTAACATTATAGTAATGGATGTTTGCCTATGTGTCTGGCTGTACAATATACACATGCAGTGCCCAAGGAGGTCAGAAGAGGGCACTGGATCTCCTGGGACTGGAGTTGCAAATTGTTGGGAGCATTCATGCGGAAGCTGGGAATCTAATCTGGGTCCTCTGGAAGAGCAGCCAGTGCTCTTAATCGCTGAGCATCTCTCAGCCCCATGTAAGTATAATCTTCCAGAATGCATCAACACTAGCTGAAATGCTAAAGTGTTACAGGAACAACACACTCTTGGCCATACGTCAGAAAGGTTTTCATTTATTTCTAAGTTCTACAGTCTGTGTTTAGCCTTCTTTGAGTGCTAGATACTTAAGATATTTAATTTTCTGTTCATGGCTAAGAAAACTCAGAGACGTACACACTCCACAATAATTAAAGCAGAAGAGAAATGCAATAAATAGCATATTCTAGACCCTAATGATGATGGCCAGTTAAAAAAGCAAAACTGCCCTCACTGTACCTGTCAAATCAAAGAACTAGTAAGTGAAAGCACACCAGTGAGGCCGAGAAAAATAAAGGAAACAACCTAGTCACACTCAATCAACCCATTAAGGTATTATCCTGACTTTGGAACAAGAACCTAGAATGTTCCATTTTCTTAAAGGAGTATCAACATTTGAATTTAGTTGGCACAAAGAAGAGTCACAGTATTTAAGTTATATAAAAATTAATTAATTACGTTCTCTCTGTTCCTTTAGTCTCACTTCTATATTTAAAAAAGGACACTGGATTCCACCAAGCCGCAAGTGACATTTTTTTTTTCTGGTATTCATCTGATATAAACATCTTTCTTCAACCACATATTCAAGCAAATCACAATAAAAACAAACAAACAAACAAACCATGGAAAGGCATGGTTAACATCAGCTACCACAGGATTCTTTTAAGACTGGCATCTAACAGTCCTATGTGCCACTGTTAATTATCACCTACACAGGTATCCTTTCCCACTATTTTTTCTATAGAAATGACAGGAAAGTCTGTCAAAGGCTTCTTTGAACTCCACATGCTACACCAACTATATTGACCCAATTCACAAATCTAATAGCTCCACACAATCAATATCTTAAGATGTATTTGACTTTACAAACAGTAATTCATTTCCCACAACGCAGAGGGTCGCCCCTCTCAGAGTTCATCATGTCATCTCTGCTCTTTGCATTTGTTGTTTTGTTTTTGAGATATGGTATATCTACAGAGTCCCGACTGTCCAGGACCCAGCTGTGCAGACCAGGCTGTTCTCTAACTCAGAGATCGCCTGCCTCTGCCTCCTGAGTGCTGACATTAAAGACATGTGCCGCCATGCCTGGCTCCATTACATTCTGAAACCAAGTAAACTATACTACTTCCAACATCACATTGATAGTGCTTCATCATCAGTAGGCTGAATCTTTCAAAGATTGTTTTTAAATCTTACCAGTAACATTTCATCTTGAGGTACAGTTCTGAGACCATCTTTTGACTATCCTAATAATCAGCAAAATCATAAGACTCTAACTTAAAACAACAGAAATCACTCCACTATGATAAGGTTTCTAGTCCTTCATAATTCAGGTCAATTTCTTTTATTAGAAACATAATCTAGTTTTTCAAATGTTCTTAAACCCTTAAAGTGTTTTCCTTCTTATTCCTGGGGCCTGAACCCCACTGCACGCTGCAGCTGTAACTGACCTGCAAGGAACAGGGAAGCACTATCTTAGTTTCGGGGAGTTATATGGATCTAATGTTAGCAAAAGTACTTAATTTTTCTGCAAATCTTATTCTATCTTATTTTGTTAAAGATTTAATTTAAAGCCAAGCATAGTAGCATATGCCTTTAAACCCAGCACTTGGGAATCAAAGGCAGGTGGCTCTCTCTGAGTTCAATGTCAGCCTGGTCCAGATTGTGAATTCTAGGACAGCAGAACAATGTAGTGAGATCCTGCCTTGAAACCACTCCCTCCCTCAAATTATTTATTGTGTGTGTGTGCGCGTGTATGTCCTGGGCTTCTGGGCTTCTGAAGCTGGAGTGACAGGCAGGGAGTTGTGAGCAACCCAACACAGAGTGCCTGTCCTGGATCTCGCTCTGTAGACCAGGCTGGCCTTGAACTCACAGAGATCGCCTGGCTCTGCTGGGATTAAAGGTGTGCACCACCACCGCCTGGCCACTCATTACATCTTGAATCACACAACATACTATATACACCTGTCACCCAGTTTGCAAACTGCTCATTAAGTCTGCCAGTCTCACACTCATCAAACATTTCACACATTAGCAAATGATTGCTTCTCTGTTTCTTACTTTATGACATCTTTTATCACTAGATAAACTTTGGAAAATGGAGACTTAACTCCTATTTCTTCTGATTACTGTATATGGCTAAATTGGGAAACTAATACACAGAGCAACTTTCCATGTCCACAGTACCACCCTGACTTTGCTGCTTCTGCTAAACACTCTGAAGTAAGAGTGACAGAAGGAAACGCAGCGAGTTCTACATACAGCTTCTGTTTGGAGAAAGCAGACCGCGCCCCCCGTCCTTGTCTGTTATCATTGTAGTTACTGTACTGTATGGCTGACTGACACAAACATCCCACACGTTATCTTCTCATATTCTTCAGTATATATATATATATATAACTTTAGCAAACAATATGCCTCTTACTTAGACCAATTCAATCAGAACTAGTTCATCAGATCAGTCCATGTTCATGAGTTCCATCAAGTATCCCTGGAATCTTCCATTTCATACTATTTGCACATATAAGGTCAAGTTCAGGCTCTAACTGTGTCTTAAATTATTCTAAATATCAAAAGTACTGAGGCCTCTTCCTTGTACCCAGAACCCTGTACTTTTAACTCAACTAAAGAGAATATAGAATTAATTTTGCTGTGGGTTTACACAAATGTTTGTACTTCTTTAGAAAAAAGATTACATTACCTAAGGTCAGAACCACTTTTCTGCCCATCGTTATCTGTGTCACTTGCCTAAAAATGTAGTCACACATAAAATATGTTTGTAGGTGGCTTTAAACTCATCCCCGACACCATTTTTAATGATGAGAGCACAGTATGGAGGGGTATCTACAAGTGTTTCTCATGTAAGTCACAGGTAGGTTTATGACAGATTTCATCACTTCTAAAGTCAAACTTTTTTCTCCCGTATTCTAGCATCTCTCAAAATGACATGAGGATGATGCACTATAGACTAAACTTCCTAGTTATGCACAAAATAAAGGTATGCCTTAAAATTGATCAGACATCATTAGCTGTATACTTTGTATTAGATCTTTTATGTCACTACGCTTCAACTTCCCTTAGAGTAAAATGGGAGTCATGGTACCTACTTCATGAAAATTAAGTATAAATATGCCTCTCCTATGTGTAGTAAGATTCCTATCATATGGTACTGGCAGGGAAATTTTTAAAAATTGAAAGATGGTCATCTACTTTGGGCACTACCATCATCAACATAATTGGCATTACCTTCCTAGACAAGGAAGTAGAGCAGAAAGGAGAAAACAGGAAGCTTTAAGAGGTAACTCCAAAACCCACGTCTATCTTCTATTCTCCAGTATCATGAAATTCATTTCTATCACATGGACTCGGTACACTGCCAGAAAACATTTTTTTAATGATAGGAATTGCTACAAAGGTCTTGGGAAGGAAATACCTTAGCAACAAAAGTAACAAACGGCCCCAAAGACCAAGAATGAACACTACCCAAGCGTCCCACAGAATGCCCATTTGCAGAGCACAGTAACTGCAGGTGGCCCAGACCTTCTGAGGCTGCTGCTGCTCCAAGAGCTGCTGTCGAAGGTGCTCCAGGTTCTGCTGCTGCAGCTGCTCTGCAATCTGATGGAAGATGGAGTTGTTCACAGATTCGGAAACATGAGAACTAAAGTGATAAAGAGTGAAGATGCATGTTAAAATGCACGAAAGGTAGTATCAAAGTGAGTATTCAGAGAAAACAACATTATGAAAAGCTCATTCCTTATGAAAAGCTCACTCCAAGTGTCAAGACTGTTACCATCCCACTCAGCACTTAGAACAACAGAGAAAGAAAGAAAAACATAATTCTTACAGTTGAGGAGTAGGAATTTCCTTTTTGGATTCTTCACTGTGCTCAGAATCTTCCCCAAAATCAAATCTATCCATCAACTTCTAGGGAAGGGGAAGAAAAAGACAAATGAGAAAGTGTTTCCACGTGGAAATTACAATGCTCTCTGGGATGTGAAGTAAGGGTACGGTGCCATTTTACATTGTACCATAGTAGAGTGCGGCATTAGGAATGCGTGCTTTTAGAGCACTGGAACATACAGCAGCAGCGCCTTACACAGTCATCCCTGCAGCTTCACTCACTCACTCACTCAGTCACTCAAAGTGTAGTCTGAAAATATGACTGCCATGATTCCTTCAAGAGAAGTCATCATACAGTCTCATTATATTATTGTTTTCTATTTTCACTGTGCCTATTTACTTATAAGCATTATCACAAGTACGTACAGACATTTATACATGGTTTCAGGCTTCTCCAGAGGTGCAGGAATGATCTCCTGAGGACTCGAGGGACGACTTCATCATCACAAACCATTTGGACATAGGCAGTAAAAATACTAAAAGTTTTGTTTTTTGAGACAAGTTTTCTCTGTGTAGCCCTGGCTACCCTGCAACTTGCTCTATAGACCAATCTGGCCTCCAACTCAGAGATCCACCTCCCTGAATGCTGGGATTAAAGGCGTGCGCCACCATGCCCAGCTCACAAAATAATGTTTACAGAAAATGAAGGATTATGGAACTATAACTTAAAAAAACCATCTAGGGTCATAATCAACTGTAAACTAGTCCTAGCAAGAACTCGATGTTAAAATGTGTCTAGCTACTAGGACTAATTAAGATCAATTGGCCAAATGGCTCATTATCCAAGAAATAAAGTCACTACCCAAGAAATCAGTATTGATTTTCTTATGAAAATAATAGTAGCAGGAATAACATACATACACGTTGTGGAATATTAGTTGAAGATGAGTTACATTCATTTATGCTGTGGAACATTTGTTTAATGATGCAAACATGTGTTGCATTCTTTTATGTTGCATTTGTTTAACTCTGTGAAGCTGTGTTATTATGCCTGTCTAAAACACCTAATGGTCTAATAAAGAACTGAACAGCCAATAGCCAGGCAGGAGAATGGTTGGAAAGGGCTAGCAGGCAGAGATTAAGAGAAGAGAGAAGAGGGAGGAACTAGAAAAGAAGGAGAGAGGACACCATGGGCCAGCCATCCAGCCACACAGCCAGACAAGGAGTAAGAAAGAAAGAAAAGATAGACAGAAACAGAAAAAGGTAAAAGCCCAGAGGCAAAAGGTAGACAAAATAATTTAAGAAAAGTTGGCTAGAAATAAGCCTAGCTAAGGCCAGGCACTCTTAAGCAAGAATAAGTCTCCGTGTGATTATCTAGGGGCTAGGTGGTGGGCCCCCAAAGAACAAAGGACAAAGAGTAAAAATAAAACCAACTACACATACACACGCGTTTGTATGTGCATATGTATATACACACATACATACCACTGCTAAGATACACTCTGAACTGACAATCATAAAGAAGATATCACACAAAAAAACTATACACAAAACAGCCTCAATTTTAAAAACCCTATTTTTTCATAGTTAAACCTACACATAAAATATACAATAATGTCAACTACAGAACCTTTTTTCCTTTGAGTTTTCACATACTGATTATTTTATCAGGTCAAATTACAGAACTTCATAAACCACCCAAATCAGCACTTGGGAGGCTGAGGCAGGCAGATTGTATAGTAGAAGCCAACATATGCTACACAAAAAGGTTCTATCAAAAACACACACAACAAAAGTCTGTGGTAAAATACAATGTACAAAGTAGAATCTAAATGCTATGACATAAAGTCTATCAGTTCACATAAACACATCAGGTATTTACAACTACTACCTTGTTGAAAGAGACTCCCTGATCCAAGGGTGTAAGGGAGTTGGCTGCTGCGGCTGCAGCTGTAAGCTGTGCTGTGAGTGCCTGCAACTGAACCACAAGACCAGCATCCAAGGCCTGCAGGATGGAAGGCTGGGGCTTCTGCTGTTGTATCTGTAAGGTTTGTATGAGCTGCTGAAGCTGGAAGGGAAAAAAATAGCATTTTTAGAAACTGAATCTTTATGGATAAACATCTGTAGGCAATAAATTTTATCATCCTAAAGAGAAAGTGTTTTTAATGTGTGGTGGTTTGAATGAGAAATGTTCCAACACATGCAAGTATCTGAACACACAGGCCCCCAATGATGGTGCTGTTTGGGGAGGTTGGGGGTGGGGTGGGGTGGAGACTGGAGACAGGTATTGAGAACTTAGAGCCTCGCCACACTTCCAGCTCATACTCTTCGCTTGTGTTTGCAGTTGAAGATGTGTTCTCTGGGCTTCTTGTGTGCTCTAGATGCCTGTTGCCATGCTTCCCTCATCACTCTGGGTTGTCTCCCTCTGGACATCTGAGCCAAAATAAACTATTCCATAAGTCGCTTTTAGTCATGGTGTTTTAACACAGAAATGAAAATTATTACAGAAGCTGGACAACCTGAGGTCATGAAACTTAATATGCTTTACTGGAAGAACAGAGGCTGGACAGCTGGGGCTGAAAAGTCAGCCCCAATGAAATCGCCTGGGAAGTATTTCCTCAGGGTCAGCACAGAGGCTGTGGACAGCAGGGGCCTGAGACTTCACATCAGGTGGCAAGACAATCTGGCAAATATTATCTCCCACATGGTACTGGTTTTGAATGACTGAAGGGGTCACAAAAGAAGGTAAAAAGCATCACTATGGGAGCTAGAGAGATGGCTCGGCAAGTAAGACCACTGGCTGCTCTTCCAGAGGACCCAGGTTCAATTCCTGGCACACATATGGTAGTTCACAACCATCTATAACTCTAGTCCTGGGGATCCGACACCGTTTCCTGGCCTCTGTGAGTACTAGGCAAGAATGTGGTGCACAAATATTTAGGAAAAACACCCATACACATAAAATAAAAATAAACAGAATGAAGAGTGGCACTATGCATCAGGGTCAGAGTCCCTGAAGCCAGGAAAGGTCATTGGCAAAGGTGCAGCCTCAGTTGCAGTGGTGACCCCAGCATACTGGAGATGCCAGGACTGTGGAAAGTCCACTCGGGACAGAAGCACGTGTGAGGTGGAGCTGGCTTGAGCCCGAGACAAGCTGTGCATGTGCTGTGAGTGGCAGAGACAGAGAAATGGGACTGCTCAACACTCTGGAGTCAGCCCAGCTCATGAGTCAGATACGGAGCTTTTTTCACACTGTTGGATATTGGTTTTAGTTTGATTTGACTGTAACTGTGCTCTGATTCTTCCTTCATGGAACAAGAAAGTATGCAATGTGTTTTGGAGTTTATAGGAGCCCACAATGAAAGGACTTTCGGATTTTTAAAGACTGTGGAACTGTTGAAGTTGTAGTGTGTTTTATATTATGACTTAATGTAAGATTTGATGAACCAACAAAGGGAAAGTCACAGTTTAAGTGGTGTTTGTTGTGTCAAAGTTAACAAGGGATAGAATGTTATAGTTAGATTTCAGGTGTCAACTTGACATAAACCTACCTAATTTCACTTGGGAAGAGGGAACCTCACTAGAAGAACTACCTCAGTCAGATTGGCCTATGGTCATGTCTTAGCAATATTTTCTTTCTTTTTTTCTTTTTCTTTTTGGTTTCCTCAAGACAGTTTCTCTGTGTAGCTTTTGGAGCCTGTCTTGGAACTCACTTTGTAGACCACGCTGGCCTCAAACTCACAGGGATTCACCTGCCTCTGCCTCCTGAGTACTGGGATTAAAGGCGTGCGCCACCACTGCCCGGCCAGCAGCAACATTTTAACTAGTAATTAAGTAGGACAACCCAGGTCACTGTGGGTGGTGTCATCCCTAGGTAACAGGGCCTGGGATAAGTATAAGGAAGGTAGCAGACCGTGAGTTGGGAACCTCTACGGTCTCTAATTCCAGGTTGGAAGTGTAAGGCAAAAGAACCCTACCCTCCCAAGTTGCTTCAGTCAGGGTTTACCACAGCAGGAGAGTGGATAAGTGGGTAGCAGCACCTAAGTCGTTGAAGAGCCTGGCCTGCTTTTAGAAAGTCATGAATATTACACACGAAACAGTCACACTGTAACAGCAGAACAAAGAACTCCTCACAGACTGGATGCTTTCACTAAGCTTCTCATCACTCTTCAATTAATTCCACAAGGGCTAAGCCCTGACCAGGACAACAGCTTTTATATCAATCAGCTTTACTATCTGAGAACACATTTTCTGAAAACAGGAGAGAAATCTATTCAACAGGGAGTCTGAGACTTAACAAATGTGTCACAAATGATGAATAGAGCAAACTACAATTGCAGCAATACCTATTCCTGTTCTTCCACCATCTTTAAGAAACAAAACAAAGCATGAGATTGAAAAAAATGGCTCAGTGGTAGCACCTGCCACACTTCCAGTACTCAGGTTTGGTTCCCAGCATCCACGTCAGGCAGGTCACAACCACCTGTAGCATTCAGTGTCCTCTTCTGGCCTCCAGATACACACATAAGTAAAATAATAAAATAAAATCTTAAAAAACACAACAAAGGGGCTAGAGAGATGGCTTAGAGGTTAAGAGCACTGACTCTTCTTCCAGAGGACCCCGAGTTCAATTCCCAGCACCCACATGGCAGCTCATACCTGTCTGTAACTCTAGTTTCAGGGGACCCCGACACCCATGGCAAAAACACAAATGCACATAAATAAAATAAAAATAAAAATATATTAAAACAACAACAACAAAACAAAAACACTTAAGAGAGCTAGTGAGGTATCTCTGTGGGGAAAGGTGCTTGCTTTCAAGCCTGATGACCTGGGTTTACTCAAACTCCAGGAACCACATGGTAGAAGTGAATCAATCCATGCAGGTTGTGGCCTCCACACACTTAGGTGCATGCACACAGAAACATACAATAACAAAATCTTTACGATTTTGTAAGAAGTCCCTCGTGCACACAATCCAGGTTGAAGTTGAAGCATTAACCCTTTAATAGTTCCATATATAGCTGAGTGAGGAGTAAGCTGTTAACTAATACTCTATAGGAAAGGAGGGCAGTTATAGTTGACAATGATTATTTTAATCATATCCAGTAAAGAAGATTTGACTGTTCACAACAAAAAGAATCAATGGCTGAGGTAGTAAATATACCATTCACCCCAATCTGAACATTACAAATTTTATATTGCATTGAATATCGTATTACTGCTTCATAAACACACAATTACATTGTTAATAAAATAAAAACCACATAGTATAGTTTTTACAATTTATAAGTCAATAAAGATTAGAAAAATGAAAATGGAAAAGCTATTACTAACAGCTAGTAAATAATCTCAGATCTTAAAACAGCAATATTAGGAAACAACCTGGAGTCACACAATTATCAAAACAATATAATATAGTAGAAAAAAAACAACATAAACATGACCTTACCACCAAGGTCAACAATGACTCTACAGCACTTGAATGAAGGGAGCAACACAGGAAGAGAGGGGAAACAAGCTTGCCCTACCCTCCTTCACACATCCCTCCGACATCTCCAATCCCCCAAGAGCACTGTTCAAATCCCCACAGCAGTAACTCTCTCTCCAATGACTTCCTAGTCTAGTGGTTCCTACTACAATGACAACAGGAAGCACCCTGGTTTATCAGTGGGATAGCAATGGCACCTAACAAGGGTTGGCCCAAGCTATGTGCTACTGCAGTATTCTGATACAGAAAAAACTTCCCAGAGAACAAACCTCAAAGACAAGATAATGTTCACGATGAATTACTGAGTGAAAACTACAAGTCACAAGTGTAACTCACCAGTCACACATGCAGTGTTCCCATTGGTAAACAGAAAGGACAAGGAAAATTGAAGGTAGTCTGTTAAGGACTCAACAGGAGGACTGCTCACCTGCTGACCTTGAGGACTCTGTAAGATCTGAGCAACGGCTGCCAGTGTGTCTGTGTTTGTTATCTGAGACACCCATGGATCAGGTAAGCCTTGGACCACATTGGCTGGAGTAACAGGTGTCACAGGGGTTCCTTTTGGAAAAGACATCACACACACACCCAAAAAGTAAGTAAATAATACATGAAGAGGTAAAAGGATGCATTCAGTTAATATATAAAATATAATCAAATAGTTTATTTTCACTTTATTGCCTCCATCTTGAAAATCACCAAAAGCCTTTATGTAATTAGTTTTACAAACAGGCAGGAAACCTCCACCTACGCCCATGGGATCTGCCCGTACCTGTCTTAATTAAACAAACTAAGCTACCATTTTAATGAAGCCTGTCATCAAAGGTTAATAACAGAAAATTCTTCCATTTGTTTTTGTTTGTCTGTTTTTGGAGATAGGGTTTCTCTATGTAGCCTTGGTTGTCCTGCAACTCACTCTATAGACCAGGCTGGCCTCCAACAAACAGAGATCCACCTATCTCTGCCTCCTAAGTAATGGGATTAAAGGGGTGCATGACCAGGCCCAGCTCAGAAAATACTTTAACAGGAGAAAATAACAAACCTACAATTCTTCCTGAGAAAAGTTATGAGTTTATGTAAGATACAACCATGTTTTGTTCAAAACTAGGTTACACAAAGAAATCTGTTCATAGACAGGTGTACAACAAAAGCTAAGTACCAAAAAGTTAACAAATGTTGGGTTCAGAATAAAACTGAAAATATCACTTAGATGTTTCAAGAACATCAAATTTTGAGATAATTACATTAAAGCAATCTTGGCTTTATTAAGCAGTATTTTGGGTTCTTCTTAAAAATTACGTCCCCCAAATTTCCTGTAAACATCAAATTAAGTTATCCACAAGATTAAGGAGTTACAAACACTGAGAACTGGGGGTGTGGCTCAGTGGAAGAGTGCTGGCCTAGCATATGCGGAGCCCAGAGTCAACCCCTGGGAGTACACAACAAAACAAAAATAAACTGTAATCAACACCTCTTCCAAAATGGATGTTTCTGGTAATTGAAGAAAAAGAAAATCAATTTTTCAAATTGTTTTCTAAATTTTAGATTAATAGCAAAATTAATTTCATTTCACAATCTCAAAGAGACACACCTGCCTTTGTTTCCCCAGTATAAGGATTCAACCACATTCAGCCTCTAGGTCACTTTCTTTCAACTATGTAATGATGGACAAGCTGCTCCACACTGGTACCTTGTCTGTCACTCACAGAGATGACAGGGTAAGGAGCAGGACTTGAGTCTGCACTACAGGTACATACCTGGAGTATTGCTCATCGCTGCAGTGGTGCTGGCCAAAACTGGAGTGACAACTGGGGGAGGGATCCCTGCTGCCATATCCAGAAGAGGCTGGATAATCTCACTCTTAAAAACATTATTCTTCTGCCACAAGTTTAATACTCTCACTATTTTACTCTAGAAGAACAGAGAAAAATAACACTCAATTTTTTGCTTTCAAAACATTAGCACAACTCAATTCACACAGTATTTGAACATAGGATGTAAAAGAGATTAAAGTATTTCTATGGTAAATTCTGTGTCAAAAATTGTTTTCAACTATTCTGTATGTTCTAACATTTTCTGCTTTCAAAATCTTAGCACTCATTTCACATAGATTATTCAGGCATACAATGTAAAGAGAGATTAAAATGCTTCTATGGTAAATTTCAACCTGAAATTGTTTTTAACCATTCTGCAATTCCTAGCTTTAGGCAATAAGAGAAGTTACTTCTGACATCTCCACAAGATAAATGAAAGTCATACTTAGCGTAAGCAGGGTGACAACTAGGCTCCACTTTCTATGCATGTCAATTCACATGAGACTGATCACACAGCCGCCTACACAACTGCCCTACAACGCCCCGTTTTGGGTCCCAGGATCAAATGAAGGTCCCTCGGCCAAAAGGAAGCACCTTACTCACTGAGCTGTCATCTGCCCTGCTTGCCCTGCTCAGAGAACTCTGACGCAGAGGCGGACTCTATCTCAGTATCATGCGTACACACACATAAAGGTGAATTTAACCCTGACTCATAAAATGCTTACCTTCTGAACTAGCAAGTAACTTCAGGACAAAGTCCTCATCTAATGTGACTCTTAACAAATTTCATTTTATAAGCTATTTAAATAACCTTAGAGAGGGCATTTCTTCACTTAAGAAATGTAGCTCAGCGCCTGTGTTCAGCATGTTTCCCTGACCAAAAGAAAAAGGACAATTTACCAAATTCAATTCCTGCCTAAGAAATTTGCCATAAATGTACTTTAAACCCACAACAATAGATATCTCTGCACACAGTCTGAGGCACAGCCTCTCCTCTGATCTTTTGTCACTGTTCCTACCTACTCGCTCCCTAGATGGATAAAGCCAACACCCCACTAGCATTATTACTTAATTTGGCCCTTGGGGTAAGAATTATGTTCTATATCAATAATGCTCTACATTATTTGATGACTTAGAATAATCTGAGTCCTTTACCACTTGGCAAAAATAAATAAATGAAATCTGCACCTTCTCCATCGTTTGTCTCTTTCCGAGAGGCCCTTTGACGGCAGCTGCGCATCCCATTTATTCTCTCAAAGAATCTCAACCCGCTCCTACAGCTATGTCACGCTGTGTTTTAACCTCACCCTGTCTGGGTTTCTCAAGTATTCAGAGTAAGTCCACTTTGGGTGAGGTCCATGCAGTCATGTCACATTTAGGCAGTTTCTGTAAAATTCATGACCTGTGTGCTTGACATTTCTCATTCACTTGGTCCTAGGCCAACTGTGTCAATAAATTTTACAAACATTTAAACCCCCAGTTTCATCAATTACAAAATGAGACTGTAACTGATTTTTTTGTTGTTTTTTTCCTGAACTGTGACTGTAACCAAGGGTTCAGGTGCTAGCATGTGCAGACCTTAGCCATAAACCCTTAGGGCAAAGCTACAGGATATCATCAGTCACAGCTCTACTTCAGCTTACTTTGAATCCTCACCTTTCTCCAACAGAGTTCCCATGAAATCCCAACTTAGTCCTCAAATTCTATTGGCTCAATTGCTGCTGATCTCTTATTCAGTGTGATACAAACTTGAAAAGACTGGGTTACACAGATCTCTATGTCACACTCTGGGGAGCACAGAGATTCCTACTTAGTCTCCTTGGTCAAAGGACTGCTTACAGATCCTGGAAACTTCAGGTCTGCAGGCAGAAGTACATGCCCAACGAAGAAGAATGTTCCAAAATGTTTTACCATACTTTTCCTTAACCTTAAAGGTTTTTCTACCATTTTTTAAAAAAATAAACATTAATTAAACCCGCTTCTTGAAATAAATAACAATCACCCAAACCCATACTAAGACTAGTAAAAGCTATCCCCTCATGTCAGCACAGAACAATCTGAATCACAACTATTTAATATAAAGGTTCTATAACCAAGAACCACCAATCACTATTCTAAGGCAATTTGTTACATTAAGAAAAATAACTTAAACTAGAGGCTACTGTTAAGCACTGGAAAAGAAAACAATAATTAAATAGTATTTTATAAGATAAAAATAATTTTAAAAGTAAACATTTGGTTCACTCTAACATGCAGGTTACATTAAATGTGTAAAATACTGTATTTCAAATGATGCATAAGAAAAATAAAAATTATACAGCTGGAAGGTGGTGGCACATGCCTTTAATCTTGTCTCAAAAAAAAAAAAAAAAAAAAACGCAAGGAAGGAAGGAAAGAGGGAAGAAGGGAGGGAGGGAAGGAAGGACACTTCTAGCCTTCTGATTCAACTCCTGCCTCTGCACAGTGAGGGCACTCAGAAAGAACCAGGCATTCTTTTGGCTTATATGAACATTTCTCAGTGTCTGATACTCAGGTTCTTCAAAATAACAATCCCAGCAACATCATTCTGTGTCTCTATATACAGAGTCAACTCCTTTATTACTGAGATTTCAGATTCATGTAATCTTTCCTCATACAGTTTTTAAAATACCTTACTCAATAAAGACTATCCTGAGAGGTGTTAGTCATGAAACCTACAAGATTAAGACTGATTTTGTAACTGTCAGAAATTCAAGTTCCAATCAGCATGATTTCTAAATAAGTTGTTACTACTTACTATTTCAAATTAATGATTTTACATGGAATTCTACTTTAAGAACTCATTAAGATGGGTGCCTGAAAATATGAAACATTCTTTAGGACTACTAGCTAGGCTTACCACAATACCAAAATAACTAAAACAATATACAAGAGCTTCTAGGAATTATATCTAAGAATATTTACAAAAAATATGCTATAACAAATTTATCCCCACCCATAATAATGATGTTTAAAACTTAAGACACGATGGTGATTAAAAATGAAACTACCCAATCTTGTAAGCTTTAGATTTCAGATTCTTCCTTATAACAACCCTCACCCAGTCTCCTCTCTTTTTAATGTGTTTATCAGAGAGACAGAAGAGGGTGCTGAATCATGACATGGCTCTGATAGAGAAGTAAATGCTCATAATAACTGAACTATCTCCAGCCCTGTTCACACACTCATAACCTTTTCCTAATTTAAAAACAGAAAGAAAAAAATATCACTTCCAAATCAGCATTTAACTTAAGTAACTTTCTTAATTACTTAGTAATGTTAAAGGGATATGAAGGAAACATCTCCCTTTATTCTTAGCTCTGGATTCTTTACCTGCTGATTACAGACATACACTAAAATCTGAGTGTTGGTCTTTAGCACTTACAAAACTGTAACAGAATTTTGATATGTACTTTTCTATAAACTGCTTGGCAGATCCATTTTCCACAAAACTGAATAGTAAATATCAATTCAAATACCCACAATTCTCTACTGATTACATGCATGACTCAATGTCTAATATAATTTCAAAGTATTTCTGTAGCCAATTTCTTTTACAGTTGCTTCAATAAATTAAAAAGTAGCAAAAGCAACTACCTCTTTCTACTCTCTAAACATTCTAAGAGTAAATATTAGAATTCAGAGTGACAGAGTAAATGACAACACAAGGTCATATAATAAGATAATCTAAGACTCTAAGAAAAAGAGTAACGTCTCCTTTAACGAAACAATATCATACCTTGTCATCCCCAGGGCAACGATATAAATTCTGGAAAGTGCTAATGATGTTATTACTAAATCTGGGTGCAAACACATCCTTTTCTTGACCGAACTGATGCCGGGATTGTCGCACAATGGAGTCAATAACATACAGTCCAGGTACCTTGTATTCTGGTTTACACTGATGAGAAAAGAGTAAAAGGGAAGGAAACAAACAGTTTGTAAAACCCTTGAGAGACAAAAACAGTATAAACCCTATTCAAAGAAAAACACTGTTCATGCTGTCATCAATACCAGACTTTGCCTAGTCCTTACCATTCATCTCTGGAATGGCACCTTAAAGAAGAGACTCTACTTTGGCTATTCAATGCACTCAGGTCAACTGTCACTCACCCAAATTCCAAACTAACACTGCCTGATTTCAATGACTGAAAACAATCTGATAAAGAAGACATTATAAAAAAAATTATTTAATGATTTTGAAAAGCTGTAACAATGGAAGCAAAATCAGGAAAATATTAGAAAATGCTCTGCAAGCATGCACTAGACTCCACCTGAACATCACACTTCTGTATCATTAAAAAACAAGTCAAACAGCCAGTTGTACCACGCTAAATATATCCAGCCCAAAGTTTAACTGTCTCAAATACCTTGTCTATAGAGGAACATGACACTACCACCACAAATACTCTGGGAAAATTGCTAACACTGAAACATGCAAGTATTCACACTATCCCAACGGGTCACTGTCTTCTAACTTACTTGTCTATAATTTATTTTGTGAACTACAAGGCTCTCTACTTCTTAGCACAGGGGTTCCGAGCTTATGTACTTGGAATCCAGCTTTCTACTCTAAAACAAGAAACCCAGGAAAACTTGGCTTTCTTGTCTTATTTACTCTATGCGCATGATGAGTTATGTGCATGTATGGATGTGCACCACCTGCAGGAATGAGAAGAGGCCATCAGATCCCCTGGAAATGGAGTTATAAATGGCTGTAAGCTGCCATCAAGGAGCTGGAAATAGCATCCAGGTCCTCTGCAAGAACAACTGCAGCCACTGAGCCATCTCCACAGCCCCAAGAAAACTTGCACATCCTTACACACAGGCAAAATTCTCATACTGGCATCTGTAGCTATCATCAGTCACAGGGTTGTCTGACAAAGAACCCTTTGGGCAAGTTCAGCACCATTCTCTGCAATATTAAACATATTCACTCAATAATTCCACTCAAACTTGAACTTCTACTTTCGTGCATTAAAAGTCACCAGTAAGGAAAATAAAATTGGAAAACACAAGTGACTGAATCTGCAAGTAAATGAATGATACTGCAGTGGCTACCCCATGATACAGTTAGGGTGACACCATGTGAGTAATTTTTCTTTTTATCTGAAAAGCTGGTCTATGAATGGATGATTTCAGTGGTTCTAATAGCAAAATCTGTAATTTACAGACTGCATAGTAAGTTCAAAATCTAAAGGACGGGCAAATAGCTTAGTAGGTAAGAGTGCATGCTATTTATACATGAGTCCCTGAGTTCAAATCCCTAGCACTCAGGTAAAACAGCTGGGTGTGGCTACATGCACATGTGTTCCTGTCACCCCAGTGAAGACTGGGAAGTTACTAACCCTCCTCCTCTTCACAGTCAAAGGACATGGGTTACACTGTAAAGACACAAGAGATGATGGGCTAGGAAGATACCTCAGTTGGAAAAGTGCTTCTGCACAAGAATGAAGACTGAGTTCAACCCCAGCATCTCTAATCCTAGAGGTGGGAAGATGGAGACAAGCAGATCCCTTGGACTCAGTAGCCAGTCAGCTATCCTGGTCAGTAAGCCCCAGGTCCCAGGGACAGACCCACTGACAAAACAAGGTGGATGGCTCAGGAGGAAAACACGTGTGCACACATATACACACTCATGGGTGGATGGATGGATGGAGGGCGAGATGAAAGGTGACCAATCTTTACTGATGTAAAATGTCACTGATGGATGATGGGAGATGAAACCTGACATTAAAAATCTTTAAGATTCTAGTGGCCAGGGGTGGCAGCACATGTCTTTCATCCCAGCACTCAGGAGGCAGAAAGAGGCATGCAGCTCTCCATGAGTTCCAGGCCAGTCAGAACTACAATGAGACCCTGTGAACCACCATCATTCCCACCACCTCACAAAATAATCCTAGTGATTGCTAGAGGAGATACACTTCTTCAGTGATGAACCCCTTAGTAAGGTGTTCACATCCATCCTCGCACATGTAACTGTAACGAAACCAACCCGTCACCAAAAGGAAGAGGCATGATAGGGCTCAGAGTGAGGGTTTTTGCCACCAAGCCCAATGACCGACCTGAGCTTGATCCCTGGGACCTGCATGGTAGAAGACAATGGATTCCCCTAAGCTGCCCTTTGACCTCCACACATGCATCATGGATGGGTGCTCACCTCCACTAAATAAATAAACATTTAGAAAATTTTTAAAAAGAAAGTAGGAAGACTTATTGGGAAGAGGAAGGATATCAGCAGGAGTGGGGGAGGGCCAAAAGGATCAGAGTACATTATGTACATTGATATACATGTGTGAAAATACCATCATGAAATCCACTTCATGTGTAACCAATACATGCTAATGAAAACTTAAAAAAAAAAATGAGGTTTTAGGAATTTGTGTATGTGGTACGGCAAGCATGTGTCATATACCCCTAAAAATGGGAACTCAGTGTGGTTAACCTCCATGGTCAACTTCAGGAGACTGAGACTCACCATGAAAACAGACTTCTCCGATCACGGCTGTGAGGGAGCTTCTAGACTGGGTTGAGCTGGGAAGACTAGCCCTAAGTGTGAGCAACATGGTCCTATGTGCTTAGGTTCCAGACTCAATAAAAAGGAGGAGACAGAGTGCCAACGTTCATCTCTCTCTGAGCCCAACTGTCTCAGGCTCCTGCCTCGTGCCTCCCAGCATGGTGGACTATAAGCCAGAACTGTCCCCTCCCTAGGATGCTGCTGTCAGGTATGTGACAAGCACCTGCTACCCCTATACCTGCACTGACACATGGTGACTGTCAGCAAGGCTGCAACTACTGACAGGGCTCTGGAACACTTCCGTCCAGGTGATAAAAACACTGATTTTTAAAAAAAAAAATGGCACCAGGTATTACAATAGCGACAGAACTCCTATTTTCCTGAGGATTTTTTTACCTTGTTTTTCCCCCCTTTTTATTAGTGGAGTATATGAAATGTTTCCATAATCTTGTTTAGGTAACTGCAAAACCTGGAAAGACTGCTCCTGCTACAGATGGATAATATTGTCATTAATGGTCTGTACACACACAAACACAACTACTCACCCACACCCTCTAACATCTGTGCTATAAAACTTGAATTTGGGGCAACTTCAGCTGTCCTGTTAATTTTGGAAATTTACCATGCTGAGTTAACACGGTACACAAATTAATAGCTTAGTCTAAAAACATTAAACTTAAAATTTTCATTTGTAAAAGAATAACACACTATACTAAATATAAAGGGATTGTCCATGTGGAATTGGCTACAGAAACTAATATTCTGTAAATAATTAAAATCGTAAATAATTAAAATCAGAATTCATACTTCTTGTAACATGAAACAAGGACAAAACGAAGTCTGATTGTGTCACATGGGCAGAGAAAATGCAAGAGATTAAGAAGAGGCAGCTGGCTTTAGTTTGATTGCAAGAAATGAGTGGCAATTAAACAAGTCTTGCGCCAGGCCTTTAATCCCAGCACTCAGGAGGCAGAGCCAGGCGGATTTCTGTGAGTTCGAGGCCAGCCTGGGCTACCAAGTGAGTTCCAGGAAAGGCGCAAAGATACACAGAGAAACCCTGTCTCGAAAAATCAAAAAAAAAAAAAAAGTCTTGCCCTTACAAAAACACAGCCGTGTATACAGCAACGTTCTGGGTATGTCCATATGTACTTCATAACAAAAAGTAAAACATTGGGCAAAAGCATCTCATCATAATCAAGAAGGGCAAATTGTATCTAAAATATAAACTGAAGTAGTGTAGCATTTAAAACTTACCTAAAATATCTTAGGGCAAAGAACTGTTAGTAAAAAGTACATATGGACAGAAACCTCGGGAAGTGAACTCCTTTCAAATTCCCTGTGCCTAAATGCCCAGGTCCTTGTGCACCCACCCTAGGGTAAAGAGTATATATGCGATCAATATCCATTGTCAATGAGACTGGAGACAATACATAAAAATGTACATATTTAAATGGGAGAACAATGGTAACTATGACAAGTTTTTCAAAAGTCTCTGCCATTCTTTCAGAGAAAATAGCAAAAGGTGGAAAAATAAAAGTAGCAAAGGGTGACCAACTCCTTTAGCTTCACTTTACAACAGATACTTGGAGGCTGGGGGGATGATGGCTCAGCAGTTAAGAACCCACACTGCTCCTGCAGAGGACCAGAGTTCTGGTTCCTGTACCCACATCTGCTGGCTCACAACTGCCTGTAAGTGGTGCTCTAGGAGATCCAATGCCGCTGGACTCCAAAGGCACCTGTACAAGTGTGGCATACAGAAACAGAGACACACACATACACACGTACACATAATTAAAAAATAAAAACAGGTACTTGTTGGAAGGGATCAAGGTTTCTAGAAAAAAAAAATTATGGTAGTACCAAGAGTATTTGTGATAATTTTTATTTATTTTCCATATCTGCTTCATAAAAATGACAACAAATGAATCTCTTCTATTACTGACATAATGCAATAGAAAATTTAAAGGTTAATAAAGGCCAAGTTTCCAACTTAGTAACAGCTAATTGAGAGGACATTATCAGAACGTAGAGAGATCACATGTTCTGCAAACCTATGGCAGTTAATAGTAGCCACAACAGCACCGATACAGCTCACTAAAACAGAGCATCCAGACTGCATTAAAATAAACAATGCTGAGTGGTTAACATCTAGTCCTATCTGAGTATATGAAACAAAAAAATTTGTAGTAGAAACCATACAAAACAGTAGGCTTCACAAGGACAAAAAGGGTCTCTGATTCAAAACTAATTTTGTGATTCATGATAACTAATGTAGGTTGACTTTAATAATACAAACAGGGTTAGTGTAAGATAGAGCTGACCCAAATAGTACCGCTAAAACCTGTAATTCTTCAATGTCTATAGTTCTAGTCTTGGCTTCAGTCTTATAAAAAGTACACAAGATGGGCAGCTGGCTTAGCCGGTAAATGTCCCGCCATGAAGCTTTGCTGAGCTGAGTCTGATCTCCAGGACCCACATGGTTAAAGAACTGACTCCTAGCCAGGCAGTGGTGGTGCACACCTTTAACCCAGCACTCAGGAGGCAGAGCCAGATGTATTTCTGAGAGTTCGAGGCCAGTCTGGTCTACAGAGTGAGATCTAGGACAGGCTCCAAAACTACACAGAGAAACCCTGTCACGAAAAACCAAAAAAAAAAGAACTAACTCCTGTGAGTTTCCTCATCTTCACCTGTGGCATGACACATGCACATGCCTCCCTTCATACACACACACACACACATATGTAAGTACACAATGTTGTAGAATAGTCCTTTTGTAAAGATGTGTTGCTCTCACTGTTAATGAAAAAGCAGACTGGACAATGGCTACACGGGATTTTTGGGGCACAGAGACTGCTGGGAAGCAGTGAGGAGTAGGAGGAGATGCTAGCCAGATGGGAAAGCAGCAGCACAGACAGGAGGTGAGCGAGCCTGGGTCAGCACACAGGTGAATAGAAATGGTTAACGTAAGCTGTAAGAGCCATCTAAACACAAGCCTACGCTATCGGCTGAGCCTTTACAATTAGTAAGTCTGTGTGGTTATTTGGCCAGAAGGACAGCTGGTCATGGTCCTGACAAAAAAAAAAAAAAAAAAAAAAAACAAACAAAACTCTGCCTACAGCATAACTTCAAACAAAAGCAGAGAATTATCAGAACATAGATTGTTTTCTGGCTGCATTCATTACATCAAAAGCTAGAAGCCCAAGTATTCTAAGCAGTGGTCCTTCAAGAAGTCAGTTTTTAGCCAGGCAGTGGTAGCACACACCTTTAATTCCAACACTGCGGAGGCAGAGGCAGGTGTATCTCTGTGAGTTTGAGGCCAGCCTGGTCTACAGAGTGAGATCCAGGACAGCCAGGACTGTTACACAGGGAAACCCTGTCTTCAAAATGACCTCCACTCCCCAAAACAGTCAGTTTTAATGTTAATTTTTTCATTTCTCACCATCATCCATCATTCCATCTATAAAATTTTAATGACTAACACATGGGACCATAGATAACATTATCAAGCTGTTACACACTTATCCCTTACTTGTATTATTTGTTTACAGTCACTAAAATTGCACTTTACAGTTTGACTTTCTTTAAAAGTATACTTATCTTTATCTAAACTTCTTAATCCCAAAATATGTTTAAGCAGTATTTTATGGAGAAAACAAAGTTTTAAAAAGAGGGAAAGCGGGCAGAGAGATGGCTCAGTGCTTAGGAGCATACACTGCCCTTCAGAGGACCTGGGTTTGATTCCTAGCACCCATCTGACAGCTCGCAATTGTCTACAGCCGTTGTTCCAGGAAATGTGGTATCTTCTTCTGCCCACTAAGAACACCAACCACACCTGTACACACACTTACATACATGCAAGCAAAACACTCATACACATAAAAATAATAAATAAAATTTTAATTTAATTTTTAATTTTTATTTTTTGGTTTTTGTGAGATGAAGTCTCTGCATAGCCCTGGCTGTCCCAGAACTCACTATGATGCTGGCCTTGGATTCACAAAGATCCTCCTGCCTCTGCCTCCTAAATGCTGGGATTAAAGATGTGCACCACCAACCCTGTCTATATTCATCTTTGTTAAAAGTGGGTTGGAATCAAAAACAGGTTAGATCAATTATTCAAGACAACTGAGTTTAGAGACACAGAAGACATACTTTGACCCCTTCACCTTCTGTGGTACACTGCAAACCTGCTAAATGTTGATGCCAAGTACAAGTAAGTGACGTCTCTGTCCTAAAGCATGAGTCTTAAACACACCTGCCAGAACCCGGCATCAACAGAATGCCGATCCTAAGTGCGAGGACCAAGAACAATGACCGGTCACCTACACTCCTGATAAAGACAGGAGACCTAAGTGTGTCTGGCACAAGCTAAAGTCGTCTGAGAAGAGGGAGCCTCCACTACACCAAGCTGTGGGCCAGCCTACAGGGCATCCTCTTAATTAGTGATTGATGTGGAGGGCCCAGCCCATTCTGGGTAGGACCACCCCTGGTCTGGTGTGGTGGTCTTGGGTTCTATAAGTAAGCAGAGTGAGCAAGCCAGTAAGAAGCACCCCTCCATGGTCTCTGCGTCAGCTCCTGTCTCCAGGTTCATGTCCAGGTTCAGTTCCTGCCCTGGCTTCCCTCAACAAACTGTGATTCAAGATACGTAAGCCAAATAAACCCTTTCCTCCCTAAATTGCTCTTGGTCAGGGTGTTTCATCAGAGCAATAATAACCCTAACTAAGACAGTAAGCAAGACTGCTATTTTCAACTTTATTTGCCTTGGTTCCCCTGGATAAAGTCTACAAAATAAAATGTAGCAGCACTGTTGAATACATTAATGGCTCAGACAAAATGAATGAGGGGAACAAAAATAATTAGGAGACAATATTTTAATCCATATTTTACATATATACAGAGTTGCTTTCTAAGCATACAGCTTAAAATGAATAGTGAGAATCTCCTTAAAGGCCATACGCAGCAACAATTTGTAACATTTGAAAAATCAATCATAATGACATAACTGTTTTCAAGAAACAAAACAAACTTAGCAAAAGTATCTTCCTAAAGGTTAACATTTTGAGACTTATCAAATCAACACTTTCATTTTATTTTTCAATAAAAAAATAAAGCAACTAGAGTTTTTTTTTTTTTTTTTGTCTTAACAAAGAAGCTGCAATAGTCCAGATGGGCATCTACTTGGCTAAGCCAACCATGAACCTGGGTAGTGTCAGGGACTACACTACACACCTGTGTGAATGCATAATCCTATTTTACAAAGGGCTGGAGATGGAACACAGAGCAACTGGTATGCTACGCCAGCAATCCACCCACAGAACTACATCTGCAACACTTGGGAATTTCTTTTTAACAGTCCATCAAAACTTCAACTCAAGTATTTGACTTAAAGGAGAACATAAGGAGTTGGAGGATGGCTCAGTGGTTAAGAGTACTTGCTGCTTTTGCAGAGGACCTGAGTTCAATTCTCAGCACAAAAATGGTCACTCACAACCATCTCTAACTCAAGTTCTAGGGGACCCAGCACATACTTGGTGCACATACATAATGCAGGCGCACATACATAATGTAGGTAAAACACTCATACACATAAAAAGTATTCTTTAAAAGTTAAATCACATGCTTAAAAATAAATTAATAAATAATGAATGAGAACACAAGCATCAATACGAAACTACAGCATATTTAGCCTAAGTAGTAAAGAGTACATGTACTTACTTTCTGAATGAATTTCTCGACACTTTGTACCACGTGTTTATAGAACTGTAAGAAAAGAGAAAGTGTGATTCCCAAATTAGTTTGCACAGGTAAGAATTTTCTGCTGACCACAGGCTTCAGAACGGCTCCAAAGGTCTATTAAAATAAATTTTAGACAAAACTTTCATGATTTGCATCATTCACCTTTATAGGAAACTAGCCATTACATTTAATTCTTTAAGTAATTCTTTGAAGCACATATGTATGAATGTATCTAAAGTGTATTATGATACTTCCAACATCTTTATGAAAGCACACTTTGGCAAACTGTATTAACAGCAAAATATTGTACACTGACAAATGTTTTTTTCCAGAGAGGAAAAATGTAACAATGTCCTACAGTCTCATTTTAACACCTAAATCAAGGAAAATACTAGAAAAAGCAAGCAACTCTACCATCAGCAGTACATTTACTAATGTGAGAATCTGTTTCAAGAATAGGCAGAGAAGAAATGTATAATGTGCTAATAAATTATACAAAGTGAAATGATTCACTGTCAATTGTGAGAATACTTAATGTACAATAAAACATTCAACATAAACCTGAAAATAAGTAAAACAGAAATTATAGACAACACAATTTTAACATGTCAATGGTAATGCCACTACTAGACCATTTCTGTTTTGAAGAACTTAAGGAATACTTCCAGTCTCCTGACTTCTGCTTTACAAAGGACAGCCCCTTCCCTTAGAATGAGGAGACATAAGAACTAAAGCCATAACACTGAAATATATACATGGGTTGACTCTAAGAATATTAACACAAAAGCACTGTATCTATACAAAATCCACACATAGTATCAACGTACTGTGGTTTGGAGAGATGGCTCAGCAGTTATGAGCACCGGCTGCTCTTCCAGAGGACCTGGGTTCAATTCCCAGCACCCACATCACACTGTAGACATGGGAGTCTTGTAACTCCAGTTCTAGGGCTTGTGACACCTCACACAGACATACATGAAAGCAAAACACCATAAACATAAAATAAAAATGAATTTAAGAAAGAAAGGAAGCAGGGAGGGAGGGAGGGAAAGAGAGAGAAACAGAAAGAAAGAAAGAAAGAAAGAAAGAGAAGAAAGAAAGAAAGAAAGAAAGAAAGAAAGAAAGAAAGGGAGGGAGGGAGGGAGGGAGGGAGGGAGGGAGGGAGGGAGGGAGGGAGGGAGAGAGACAGAAAGAAAGAAAATGTCGACTTCTCAGTAGAGTTATATCCAAGGATATAGGGATTGTTATTATTAATGACCTTTAAACTGTCAAATAAATCAGCCAGGAAAAGAGGGAAAAAAGTAAAGAAGGGTCAGTGCTTGTGGGTGTGTGGGGGTGTGTGTGTGTGTGTGTGTGTGTGTGTGTGTGTGTGTGTGTGTGTGTGTGTGTGTAAATGCCCTTGATCCTGGCCAAAAAGCTGGAAAGTAATATCCAAGTAGAAATAAAGCAGATGTGGTTAAAAGGTTACTGACTGATAGGTCTAAGGGGCAAAAACATAGTGTTTATCACAACACACTACAACTTTTTTCAAAACTAGAATTATTAAAGGCAGTAATACATCAAACATTACAGTACACTGTAAAAACTGAGTTATTCTCAGTTGACAAAAACCCCAATTCAAACTCTACAAGCTATCTCATGTATATTATACTCTTCTGACATCTGAAAACAGGAAATAATGCTGGAACCTATACTTTACTGAGTCTTTAATTTAACAAGTACTGTTCAACAGTTTTACAAAACATACCAATTCCTAAATTTCTAGACTAGTACTGATGATGTTAACATATGTTTGCATATTCTCAGAACCAGATCCAAAGAATCAGACCACACTGAAGATAGTGCAAACTAAAAGAGAATTGGCTTATGCTAAATGTAATTTCCCTTCAAAACTCTCAGGCTTAAATGTGCTTGTTATCTTTATCCCATATCTTTTTTTTACATGAAAATGAGGTTTTTAACTATAATGGGGTAAGATACTAACTATAAATCTGAAAAACACATAGACACACACATCAAAAAAAAAAACCAAACAAACAAAAGCAAGGGCTGGCCAGATGGTTCAGCAAGTAAAGGTGCTTGTCACCTAGGTCTGGCTGACAGCCTGAGTCTGACCCCAGAACCCACACAGAGGAAAGAGAACTAACACCCACCTGCACATTTGTTCTCCGATTTCTAAGCATATGCCATGGCAAACACGTGTGCAAAACTTTACAAGAATTAACTGAATTTTCTGGTAGTAATAACTAGTAATTAAACTAGTAATTAAGAATTTGTTATAGTTAATATATTGCTATTGTATATCTAGTTATGACTAATGTTTTGACCACTAAATGTTCATAGGTTAGTACCTACTTCATTAGAAGTAATCATTTATTTTTAAGATCCTTACTTGAAGGAAGTCTTAGACCAGGAGACAAGATATTGTCTATGACTGAACTTAAAAGTATTTTATCCAAGAAGTCATGTGTACTTCTGCAGAGAATCCAACCATTCCCTGTGATTCCAAAGTAGGGATAAGTTAACACAGGCTCAAAACTAATTGAACCAGAGCAGTAAATAACTTTCTATGGTCTCTTTCTAAAATTCAATTACCTTATATACAATGAAGCCAAATTATTTTCCATTATGATTCCAGAATGATTCATTTTTAAATCTATATAGAATCAATAAGAGAAAAAAAAACAATATACTAATTTGTATTTAGAAGTCTTTTATCAACTTATATTTAAGAATCTGTAGTCGGTGAGACAAATGCCAATGTCAGAACACCGTCTCCATACCACGGCTATCCAAACTATCACCTGCCTAAGAAAGGTACAAAAAAATGCTTGCTTCAAAATATAAAAGATTGTTTCCTCAGACAGGCGATGGTGGCCTTTGATCCTAGCACTTGGGAGGCAGAAGCAGAATGATCTCTGTGAGTTCGAGGCCAGTTTGGTCTACACAGCAAGTTCCAGGACAGCCAAAGCTGTTAAACAGAGAAACCTTGTCTTGAAAAACAAAACAAAAACCAGACTGTTATCAAGGATTTTTAAAAAGGTTTACTCGTTTTATTTTCTTTGTTCTGTGTATCAGTGTTCTCCCTTCATGTATGTGTGTGAACCAGGCATGTGTCCAGTGGCCCTGGAGGGCAGGGCCTCTAGAACTGGAGAAAGTTGTAAGTCAGCAGTGAGCCACCATGTGGGAGCTGGGAACTGGGAACTGGACCCAGGTCCACTCTAAAACCAGTTCACTTTCAACCACTGAGCCTCTCGTAAGCTGGAAGAATCTTTTCAAAATGTATTTCTATGTAAATGTGGGGTTTGCAGGTGGCAGATTTTCTTTTCCACACCAAGCATGCATCAACACCATAAAGCCCAAGTAAATATGTAAAATCTACAAAATCACTGCTTGCTGAGGGTGGGGCACACATAGAATGGGGAGAAGAGGGAGGTAGTTTGAAGTCCGTGACCAGCTGCAGAAAGGGCAGTTGTAACTGACATGATGCTTGTGTCCTAGTCTGCTAAGAACCTGTTTGTGTACACATACACATGTATTAAGCAGATATTTATGTCTTCTTTAGTCTATTTATCTACTGTGTAATGTAATATAGACTGAGATAACACTGAAACACTAAGCATACCTCAATAGACAGTACCAACTATTCTAGAATATACACTGCATTTGCAGTTTTACCTGGGGTACTTAAGTGGAATTATGTATACCCTGGTAATTGTTTTCATTTGGAATTTAAGCAAGAGGGTATGTGACTGTGTGTCAAGTTAACAAAGAATGGATTAATTTTGGTTGTCAACTTGACTACTTCTGGATCAACTAAAACCCAAGTTCCAGGGCACACCTACGAGGGATTTTTCTTAATCAGAGCACATAAAAGGCCATGGAAGAAGGAAGCTTTGGCTTTTTCCCTTCTTGCCCTCATCCTTCCTGGCAAGTTCATCAATCCTAGTGCTGAGTACGTATGTCTTCACTGGTATTAAAATCTACTTCTTTGGGACTCCAATGCAGACTGAAGACCAGCAGCTTTCTAGGAACCCTCCAGGACGCCAGCTCCAGATTCTTGGCCTTTCTGTCATGAGACAGTCATTGGTGGACTACCCAGACCACAGCCTGTAAGTCATTCTAATAAAACCCTTTATAAATAGAGTCTCCTCTGTTTCCTTAGGGAGGCCCGGATTAACACAGTATTTTTCTGTTGCTATGATAAAATATCCTAATGGAAGCAATTCAATACAGTTTCAGGTCAGTCCATCACAACAGAGAAGTTACAGGAGCAGAGTTTGAGACACTTAGTCAAGAAGCAGAGAGAACAAGGGACATGGTTCAGTGGCTAAAAGTACTTCCCAAACAAACTCCAGGACATGAGTTCAATCCTCATATCCCAGGGTAGAGGAGAGAAAGGTGTCCTCTGAACGCCCGCCACACCTGCACCGCAGCACGAGTGCCCACATTCACAAGCAGAGCCCATGGAGTAACACAAATCAGAATGTAAAGCAGCAGCAACAACAAATACGATGCCTGCTGCTACTCAGTTCCTTTTCTCCATTTATATGGCAGGGGAACAGTCTCACCATCCAGAGTAGACAAGTCTTCCCAGCTCAATTAAGGCAATCAAGGTAATTCCCCACAGGCATGTCCCAGGACCACTTCCCAGGTGATTCTAGAGCATGTCAAATTGACAGTATAACACCATCCCACAGACTGTCCCCACCCCCCAAAAAAAATTGGTTAGAACACAATGGAGGAAGATACCTGATAAAGCCTCTGGATTCCACATGACCCTTATATGTGGCACATGTATATTCTCCGCCGCCCCCCCCCCCCCCCCCCCCCCCCCCCCCCGCTTCCACACACACACATGAGGGTTATTTTCATTTAAAGTCACAAATTTATCACTCACCTTAATAGCTTTGATAGCTGCCTTTGTAATCTGGGTCATTTTCGCTTTAGAAATGGGTGGTTTATAGTCATTCAGCGAATATAACTGATGAAAAAAGAGAAGCAAATGTTATCACAAGTGCCTCTAAGCAATTGTGAAACTACTAACATTTCCATTTTTATATTCTCAATGAAATACAAGGGTAGCTTTAAAAAAAAACTCAACAGGACTAACAAGGGGAAATTCGAAATTACAATCAGCTATTATATCACACTTGCTTACTCATGATCAATAAAAAGAATTAGGAAGAATGTAACAACTTAGCATCCTCATACATTGCCAGTGTGAGCATCAAATGGTAGAGCAACCCTCTCACACACACACTTAAGAGCCAGCGGTGTGGCTCAGTGGAGGAAGGTGAGTGCCTCCAAACCTAACCACCTGAGTTCATTACCCAAATCCACATGGTGTAAACACAGAACCAATTCCTTTCAACAAACTTTCCTTCCACAGGCTCACTCCAGCATGCATATACCCCACCACACACGGGATTAACACAGTATTTTCCTGTTGCTATGATAAAATAAAATAAAAGAGCACGGTAGCTTCTCAAAAAATACTGAAAATAGTCACCATGTGATCTAGCCAATTCCACTCCCAAGTACACTATAACTATTAAAATTTGTGCCTCTGATTTGTGCTAAGTGTGGTGGCCAACACCTTTAAACCCAGTACTTGGGAAGCAGAAACAGGCTGATCTCTCTAAGTGTGAGGTCAGCCTGGTCCACATAAGCAAATTCCAGATCATGTCAGCCGGGCTATATAGTGAGACTCTCGCCTAAAAAAAAAAAAGAAAAACAGAAAGGAAGAAAACTTGTACCTGATGATCATTAAACAATTATTCATATAAAATTCATCAAAGAGCTCACTGAGAAAGTAACAACAACCCAAATGACATGAACCAATGACTAAAGTATTACAACTGAATGAACTGTCAGCCATAAAAAGGAATTAGGATATATACAGATATAAAGTATGTATCTTAGATATATGTTACACATGAATCTTGGGAATTTGGGGGAGGGGTGAGGTATCTCACTAAATTACCCATATTGACCTCAAACTGACAATCCTTTTGCCTCAGCCCCTTGAGTAATTAAGATTCCAAGCATGTGTCACCATTGTGTCTGGCCCTTGGAAATACTATGCTAAGTTAAAGAAGAAAATGAGATGTAGCTGAGTGGTACAACACTTGCCTAGCATGCTTGAGGCCCTGGGTTCAATCCTAGGTATTGGGGGGTGGGGAACATCTAATGATTAGTAATTCTTTTAAAGGTGAAGAAAGTATTTTAAAGTTAATTGCATGTGGTGAATATACCCAAATGGCCATATGAGTTGCCTGACTTTATATGTGAATTTTATCGCAATGAGCCTTTTTACAGCCAGGCATGGTGGTGCATGCCTCTGATCATCCCAGCATTTGGGAGACAGAGGCAGGTAGGTCTCTGAGTTCGAGGAAAAGCCTAGTCTATGCTGTGTGTGCCAGGCTAGCCAAGGCTTTACAATGTAACTTAAAGAAAAGAGGGGTGGCAAAGAAAAAAAATCAATAAATAAACCTTTCAAAAGGTCAAGGTATCAAATGTTTCAAAACAATCTGCCCTTTGATCTGTTTTAAAAATTCCTCATATAATGCTCAGAGAGAAAGTAGTTAAAAGAAATGGCAGAAAAATTAGATGCTAGAGAACTAGGGTTAAATGAAAATTGACTAAAAATTGTATTGCATTCTGTGACACTATGGTGAAGGCAGTATTTAAAAGTTTATTTGCAGCCGGGCGGTGGTGGCGCACGCCTTTAATCCCAGCACTCGGGAGGCAGAGGCAGGCGGATCTCTGTGAGTTCGAGGCCAGCCTGGACTACCAAGTGAGTTCCAGGAAAGGCGCAAAGCTACACAGAGAAACCCTGTCTCAAAAAACCAAAAAAAAAAATAAAAAATAAAAAAATAAAAGTTTATTTGCTAAGCTTTGGCCGTAACAAACAGACCATAGTGAAAATAGCCATGCCTCACCTGGAGAACATGTAAATGAGTAAGGCATGCTCTCCTACCACATTTACAGCTATCTTTAAAAAGAACAACAACCCCCCCCCAAAAAAAAAAAAAAAAACACTTCCACCACTTCCTGAGTTCAACAGTCAAGAACCTCCCTTTGGGGAACCCAAAACTGTCTATTTAAGGCTCTCGCTGTGTAACTAACATCAGCATGGTCAGCTTCCTCTCATGTCATGCTTACAGCCTCTTGTTCTTAGCACACACAATCTTCTCGTTCCCTGCCACGGTACCCTGAAAATGAGATTTCTTCTCTTCTATTCAGAATACTCTCTACCAGGGCCTCCCCACTAGCTAATGTGTACTTTTCCCTAAATCACCTAAAGAGGAAAGGCTTCCATAACTCCCCACTACCAAATTTCTCTGTTTTCAGTGTCTTACCATTCACCTTTGAAGTCATTAATTTGTCTAATTATGTCTAATACTTTATTTTTCAAAAAGAACTGCTACAAAGATAATGGTGACTGACATTAATAAACAAAGGGTTTACATTCCTTAAATGCAATTTAAGTTACTAAGTGGCTAACTACACACCAACTGCTTTGCAAACAGGAAACCACCTAGGATTCTAGTGAAAAATTACAGACACCCCACATGGGCCAGGGCTATTGCCAAGGACCATGTCTGGGTCTGTGGCCCTACCACAGCCAGGGTCTGTGCTGTTGTCTGTGGCTCTGGATACCACTGAAGGCAATGTCGATGCCAGAGGTCTGAGCTGCCACCTGGGGCCATGTTGGTGTCCCAGGGCTACGCTGCCACGGGGGGCCATGTCAATCTGAGTGGCCTGTGCTGCCACCTGGTGCCATAGGGACATCCAAGCACAAGTTGCTACCAAGGAACCTATCTGGATCCATGGTCCTACCATGGCCGAATTCCATGTTGATGTATGTCTGTGGCCCATGCTACCACCAAAGGCCACACAGATGCCCAGGGTCTGACTTGTAACCTATGGCCACGTTGGTGTCTGAGGGCCATGGTGCCACCAGGGCCATGTCAATCTGGGTTGCCTGCACCGCCACACAGGGCCATGGTGTTACCTGGGCCCCAGGCTGCTGTTTGGGTCCATGGCCCAGCAGCAGCCAGAGTCTGGGTAATGTCCACAGCTCCTGTTGCCACAGGGGGTAATAAGAAACATGTATGTTGAAACCCAAGGGCCATGCTGAGCCAGCTCCACACCTCACTGGCCCTGGGGACATACACACACACACACACACACACACACACACACACACACACACTCAGGAAAGACAGACCCATCCCTCACCATGGGTGTGGGAGAGCTGGCCCCGATGGCATGGGCCTAGGAGAAATGGCTCTGTCCCTTGCCTGTGGGGGCAATCCCAGTGACCAGGACCTACCATCTCAGCTACAACCAGACCCACATGCTGGGCTTTGGGTTGGCCCACCCTAACACTTGCTGGAATGAGGAAAGGCAACATTTAAGTTCAAGTGGAAAACATTGTTCTTTGGGGGATCAAGCATAGTCAGAGACTGCAAAATCACTTGTTTATGATACATTGAAAATTATATTTCATTATTTTTACTCTGGTCCACTTATACATACACCATTTCCATGGTTCACCTTCTCCAAAATTCTTATATTGAAGCCTCAACCTCCACTATGACTATATTTAGAAATAGGATCTCTTTGGAGGTAATTAAATGACATCATATAGACAAACAGCTGCAGGCTAACAGGATTACTATCTTTCAAAAACAAAAAAAGGTATCGCATAGCTTTTGATCACAGACATGCATATTCTTTCATGCACCCAAACTCTTTGTGCACCCCACCCTTCCCTTCCTCTGTGAGAAGGCAAGTATCCAGAGAGGAACAGTTTCTCCCAGGAACTCAATGGTCAGCACCTGGTGCCTTGACTGTCTAGCCTCAAGAACTATAGGGAAAAAATTTCAGTCATTTAAGACACTATAAAAAAAAGGGGGGGGGTTATATGAAACTTTCCTATCAATTAAAAGCATGTTATTGTTATTAATCAATTAGAACATTGGGAAAAAGAATAAAATATATTCCTATCTGTTAAGCACAGGTGTCCTCCAAATTGAACATTCATTCTTTCCAGTAAAGGAGAAAGGAGAGGGATCCTCACATTCAGTAATCTCAACAGGCAATATTCACACGAGAGGTTCAGGAAGTTCATGAAACATAACAGACACAGGAAGCTCTAGGATATGGGTTTCATGAGCTGGCACCCATGCTAGATGGGCCTGTGAGTCAGATGAGCTCTGGAACTAACCCTAATAAACATACTGGTTCATCCAGCTAGATGGGGGGAACTTTTTTCTTTGGTTTGTCATCAGTAACCTATTTGGGATGAGGGCCTATCTGTACACTTCTCCCCAGGAATAGTCACACAACACAATTGGTGTCCAAACACAGACTAACATAACCAAAGTGAGAAGAAGAGGAGACACAGCACAGCCCCTGCAAAAGATGGTAAAATAAGCAAATAAGGCCAATCTGTCTGAGGGTAAAGAATTTATGGGGGCAATCCCAATATGACTACTTTTTCCCAATATGTGGTAAAAGATGGTATACCTCGTTGTAGTGACAGCTGTGTGTTCCCTGTGATAATAATACATAGAATCTAGGTGGAGCCATTTGAGTAGAGCATCTTTTGGGAAAGGGGAGGATGTTCCAATAGCCATTGTCTACACAGTATGGGATAGCATACCTCCTTGATGAATGATATCCCACACAATTATAAAATTATGTTTCTGTGTAAAGGTGCTTGCTAAACAGTCTAGCAACCCAAGTTTGATACCCAGAATCCATATAAGGTGGAAGCAGAGAACTGATTCCATAAAATCGGCCTCTAACCTGCACATACATACCATATCACATGCACCCCCAATCTCACACACACACACACACACACACACACACACACACACACACACACACACACACATATAATGCACATACACATACTAAATAGTTTTAAATTTAAAAAAAAAAAAAAGATACTTCTCAGGTCTGACC